TAAAATCGAGTTAAAATAGAGAGTTATCAGCAATAAACTGTTTTGATCATGTGAGTGTGACATGGCGCATATAAGGAAGTGGGTTAAATTTCTCGTTAAGGTTACGGTTTTTGTAGATGCTTCGGTAAAGGTTGGGGTCAGGTTTTAGTTTGTTTATCAGAGCCACATATAAAACGTGTTAAAGTTAGTCACGCATAGAGATTAAGATTAATAATCACCCTTATTATGAAGTTACTGGAATACTGTCAGGAATGAACATCTAATACTAACCCAGTAACCCTATTATTGGCGCCTTCAAGTATTGGGAGGATCAGCTATTGTAAACTCTCGGAAATCTTCCCAAAATTATAAATTAGGTGAACTCCAAATTTTAAAATCACTACCAATTCCTCAGAACTGATTCTTCGGATTCCTATATCATCTTAGGCCCGTATTCACCAACCGGCTTCAGGTCATACTTAAACAGCGTTTTAAGTATGAGGTCGCACTTAGAAAAGAGTTAAAGTGGCAACTTTATAAATAGTATTCACGAAATTCACGATTAAAGTCTTCAAGTATTATTGAACTTTAAATTAAATTCCCCAAGTGAGCGATGACGAGTAAGGAGCCGGCGTTTCACGTAGACTGTCTGTATTCTCATGTAACCAGAACCGCATAATGTCTTAGCGTGCCCCCTTACATAATGTGATGTTTATATAATATAATAAGTGATATACGGAAGGAGCGGTAGCATTTTCTAATGTGTGACTTTTTCTGTGGTATCGTACATGGTGTGTTTGGGTTGACCCGAATGTATCTTGATAGTTGTTTTTTTAGTAATTGGCTTTTTGTAATCATGCAATTTTGTGTAGACTATGATCATGGTTACGCGTATACTGTGACCATAATAACGTGTATATTGTACCCATGGTAACGTGTACACTGTAACCATGGTTACGCGTATACTGTACCCATGGTAACGTGTACACTGTGACCATGGTAACGTGTACAATGTGACCATGGTAACGTGTACACTGTAACCATGGTTACGCGTATACTGTACCCATGGTTACGTGTACACTGTGACCATGGTAGTTCGCGTACACTGTGATCATGGTTACGTGTACACTGTGACCATGGTAACGTGTACACTGTGACCATGGTAACGTGTACACTGTAACCATGGTTACGCGTATACTGTACCCATGGTTACGTGTACACTGTGACCATGGTAACGTGTACACTGTGATCATGGTAATGTGTACACTGTGACCATGGTAATGTGTACACTGTGACTATGGTTACGCGTATACTGTACCCATGGTTACGTGTACACTGTGACCATGGTAACGCGTACACTGTGATCATGGTAACGTGTACACTGTGACCATGGTAACGTGTATACTGTACCCATGGTAACGTGTACAATGTGACCATGGTAACGCGTACACTGTGACCATGGTAACGTGTACAAGGTGACCATGGTAACGTGTACACTGTGACCATGGTAACGCGTACACTGTGACCATGGTAACGTGTACAAGGTGACCATGGTAACGTGTACACTGTGACCATGGTAACGTGTACAATGTGACCATGGTAACGTGTACAATGTGACCGTGGTAACGTGTACAATGTGACCATGGTAACGTGTACAATGTGACCATGGTAACGTGTACAATGTGACCATGGTAACGTGTACACTGTGACCATGGTAACGTGTACAATGTGACCGTGGTAACGTGTACAATGTGACCATGGTAACGTGTACACTGTAACCATGGTTACGTGTACACTGTGACCATGGTAACGTGTACACTGTGACCATGGTAACGTGTACACTGTGATCATGGTAATGTGTACACTGTGACCATGGTAATGTGTACACTGTGACCATGGTAACGTGTACAATCTGACCATGGTAACGTGTACACTGTAACCATGGTTACGTGTACACTGTGACCATGGTAACGTGTACACTGTGATCATGGTAATGTGTACACTGTAACCATGGTTACGCGTCACTGTGACCAAGGCTCCATGGTATATACTTATATAGGGCCCTGTATATATAACCGCCCTGAGGCTGACCCTGGTAGTGTAACATGGGTAAATATTATATACGGCGGTTAATAAACTTACATTTCATTAATCAGTTCTCAGCTCCTCCTGCTTGCCATGTCAAGTTCATACCACAGTATAGTAGTAATCTACAACTTGTACGGTTTTGCAATTTGCAGTTTTATCGTTCATCGCGATCGTTAAGTATATTAGAGGGGAAGTTACTTGTTATGTACCAGAACATAACTGCCTAAACGTCTTTCAAGTTGAGATGTGCAGGGAGAGCAACACATTTTATTTCAGTATTAATAATTAAGCACTTGCACTGGTTTGATCTCAAACTTCCGGCCTCAACCAGGACTAGTAATTGCTCACCACCCTCTGACTCAGTTAGGTTTAAGCATTAATGGTGTTTTTTGAGTTCAACTTTGACTTCAACTTATTAAGCAATATGTATAAGCCATTTACATTGATTCTGCTACCGGTGCAGCCACCTTGCTTAGCCATAATATTTTTGTAATATGATAACCACTAAATATGGGGTACGGAGGATGAAATCATTCGCCGCTCGTGATGCAATCTTTGATCCGCTTTTTATTCGCTGTGCTCGGATTTTAGTGTGGTCGGGTTGGCAAATTCATCAATGTAAGATCTTTTGGATTTGGCAAATTTCCAAAACGAAGTTCCACATTTTTACCAGAAAATAACCAGTCATCCCTAGATGAATCATATTTATTACGGGTCGGGGTAATACTAATAATCTAACAATTACTATGTCAAATGAAAATTTGAAGATAGCACCAGTAAAATATATCGCCAACTTGTCCGGCACTAAATTCATTTTTGCGCTTTCATCATACCTACTTTGCGATATGTGCGACGCGTTTTGTGAAGTTTTTATTAACATTAATGCTGACAGTTACGACACATTATACTCTTACTGTCGTTATTAGCCAGTTTTTGGGAAGTGTAATGAACAAAGCATATTTATACCCTCGCTTTGGGAAAGGTTGCTTCGTCGTTACTTGAGTGTTAGATAGTTGATTCAATAATACAGTCTAGTTCAATAATTATTTTTCATTTAATCATTCAGTCATCTCTTTCAGGTCTCCTCAAAAGAGCCGCTACTTCTGGGAAGCCAGACTCTAGCATTTAGCTATAGAAATTATCATCAATTCAATATTCGACATTTCTAACTTTTTTCTAGATTATAAAAATGATACCATTTACTTCAATTATATTCACTTATACTTATATACTTGACAAACTGACAAACCGACAAATGTGTGTGTGTGCGAGAGTGATTTTAAATTGTTTTTCTATTATATGACGTAATAATCTATATTTTTAACTCGAGATTGTAATCGACATGTTGCCAAGTTTTCAACTTGTTTGTCTTCTCCAATTAGACAAACAAGTAAGCCAAGTTTTACAATTTATAATCCTGTCCAGGCTGAGAAGCGCTCCCAACAGAGAATAAACGAAATGAGGGAGAGGTTGGAACAAGCTAATAACACCACAAGAAGCATGCAGGTACTGGGTTAAAATCGATTCAATATCTGAATAGGATATATTATACTCTTTTAAGGCGGTGTGCAAATGTTATTAAAAAGATGTAATTACAATCTAAAAATCGAATCTAATCTACAAAGTTACATCGGCGATAACATTACATTTAAGCTGAATGTGTTATAACATGTTAAATAAATTAGGGGCAGGCGAATTATTTGTTCAGCATTGTCCCCCTGTATCAAACCCTTTTCTTCTTCTCAGAACTATGTGAACTTCCTGAAGCAGTCGTACAGCAGTGTATTCGGAGACACGACCTTGGAGCAGGGCACTCCTTACACTGGCAGATTCTCACCAACCTTTAAACGTGCCCCGTCTCCCATTAAATCAGCCAGCTTCAATGTGGATTACTAGCGACATCACCAAGTGACATCATCAAATGACGTCATCAGACTCAATTTTATACTTGACAAAATTAACGCAAACTTTTTGGAGGACGTTCGTTAAATACACTAATTGTTTTGAGTGAGTTAGAGAGGGCTGTGATTACTATTTGTATTTCAGATTGGTTTGGGGAACATTATTGAGATCAAAAGAGTTGGTTGACCGAGACTTTATATTATAATTATAACAGAGTGTCGTATTTTCTTATTCAATTTAAACTGTTTTTGTATTTGGCATTTCGAAAATGCTTCTTATTGCAATGGAATAAAAATAATTGCATGATTTTCAGTAGCATTTCGTTTTCACTTATTACAGTAAAACCCCGATTTACCGCATACTCTGATTTATTGCGGCCGTTTCCTTTCCCCAAATAAAGGCTCAATATGCATAGGGTGAACAATCAATACATCGATTTATCGCAAACTCCAATTTACCACGGGTGTTTCCTTCCCCCAAACTCCGCGGTAAATAAGGGCTTTATTGTACAAAGCTCGTTCAATGACATACGAAAAGTTAAGTTTTATACTACTGTTTACTTAACAGACCTAATTTAAAAGAAGGTGTGACTTTAAATGACATGATTTCCTTATCTTACTTGACTTAACTGATGTGTGCACACAATATTCAAAATTAAACTTGCATAGTATGGTATTACTAAGAATATTTTCTTTTAAAATACAACTAACGTGTCCCTGATTACCATCACTGTATCCATGGTAACGATATTTTATTTGAATATAACCAACGTAATTGCTTAAATGAATTAAAAAGTTTTCCTTTTACACACTAGCTTTATTAAATGTATTACAAAATTACCGTCCATTAAGATGGGCTAAAATATTGTAGGTGATCTTAGGTAATCCCCATTCTCCACTGTATCGGACTGAATAAAAAGACAGACAGAAGAGTCAAATCTGACTATTAAGAATGGTCATGGCTATTTGTGTCAGAACACTTTATTTTGAGGGAATGATAATTAACAAACAGCGAATAAGAAAGGCATGGGATTGAAAGGGAAAATTATCAAAATACAAATCAATATGATGTTCAGTTTACAATAATACATGAATATCTATACAATACTGTTATCATGGTTATATGAATGGTCAAATCATGGTTACAACAGGAAAGGTCAAATCGGAGGTCAGAAATTAAATGCGTCATCTTATATTGGAATCCCCAAGTCATGATGAGAAGAAACTGTTATATAAGTCAAAAGAAATAATTAAAGTCATGTTTAATCGTGGGTAATAAAATCGTCTCGAATGAATAGCAAAAATCCAGTTCAAGCTAATCTGTAACACGAATTTTATCTGGTTTCGGTGCGATCCTTTATTTTGAACCAAAGTTATATTCTGCTTTAATTCTAAAGCCATGAGTTTAGTTAACAGTACTTGGAAACATGCTGTTTGACTAATTGGGTATCCTCGTAAGGTTTAGGCTGATCCATGTAGAATTCAGTAGGCGTGCTGAATGCTGTGTTCTTCTTGAAGGGCGATCCTTCACATCGTATCTGCGTTACTCCCTCAACACCTGCGAACAATTAATTTAAATTTCTTTTTAATCATTAAACCAGTTTCGACTGGTATCTAACTGTCATATCTGTACCCTTATATGTTCATCAGCAATTAAAGTGATAATTACAAACCTTTAGCGACTCCGTCGGTCCAGTAGGAAACGGGCAGCTCTTTTAAAACGTTGTGATGGGACAGAGGTTCAGGCCAGTCAGAGTCAAATTCTCTGTGGAAATCTTTTTGCATTGTACTCTGGTAATCAGGTACTATCTGAAATTGAAATATCATGATGCTAGAACTAATAGAAGTTTCAAATAAATTGTATAGACAATATCTCGTATGTTTTTCAGATGCATATTATAAAGGGCTAAAAGCTAGAAATACCTTCGGTGGTTTGCTTTCCTCTTCAACTGCTTGAGAGATCTGGTCATAAACTGCAGTTTCCCTTAGTGACAGCCTTGATCCTGAAAGAAGAACACTATTCAATAAATATATGCCTGGTCGAAGAATCTTAAATTTGAGTCAATTTAACAAGGTACAGACACATACAAAATGTAAAATTCTGCAGCAGACTTTTGCATCAGTAAGATTCACAATTTTCTTTACCTTTCTGTCTAATATCAGGCCTGGAAGGAGGTCTGAACGTCTCTCGAACAGTTGTACTCAGGGATTCCATGGTTTCTGGTTCTTTAGTCGATATTATCCCCACATGCCCTGATCTGTTCACCTCTGGCCCGTGGGCGTCTTTATCGTACGTCTCGCACGCTCTCTCTTCCACCCAATTCTCTATTAAAACTTTGCCGTTTCCGTTGGTTTGAGTCATTTCTAAAGGTGAGAAAACATTCGTTAGCTATTTTAAGTATAAAGAGATAACTAGATAGAAAAAAAGATAGATTCAATACTCAGTTAGGAATTGCTCATTTTTCATCAGTCACAGCGCGCCAAATGCAATGATAAATTCTTCTTACAGACTGCTGACACTTTTAATTTAACAATAGTTTGATCTGTTCCTATAGCAACCAAACGAGCCGCGCATTATAATTGCGCGTAAAACGTTAAATTATCGCATGTTGTATCCAGTCAAAAAACAATGTTCCCACCTCTATAACGTTATCAAATAGCACATAAAATAAATATAGTGGAAATTGAGAAACTTAAAATTCATTTCTAACCAGTCGTGCCAATTGGTGGATCAAAAATGTCAATGAAAAATACAATTTAATCTTGGTGAAAATATTTTAATATGAAAAAAGCTGGGGTGGAAATGGGCCCATTATAAAACCAAACTAGGGAAAATTGTTCCTTTACTTTTTCCCTTCCATCGCATTGTCAATCTTCTTATATTCATTTTGAATCTCCTGATAAAGCTCCTTATTTTCTCCTATCCATTTTTCAGGAGTGTGCTCTTTCAACCACTCGGAACCCTGTACTTGCTTCGTGAACAGAGATGCCAGATCCTCCAAAGATTCTTCTTTCTTATTCTCCATTTTAAAGATCAGTGCTAAAAACATTTTGAGTTAGATGGCATGAACCCAATCAGAGTATAATAAAAGAGTAGTATGATAATAGAGTACACAAAATTCGCTTACTAATTTAAATGTCGCGTGATTATTATTTGAGGTGATTTGAATTTTGACCAAACATATCACTGTATCAAAATTCACAGGAAAAACGCGTTATATAAAAACATTTGACAATTGGAAACAAAAACTCCATTATTCAATATCAAACGATTATGTACAGAACTTATATACAGGCTTCTGGCTTATTTATAACTGCAAGTATTCCAGTTCATGAAAGTAAATAATTCTGCTACCGACAATATGGAAATTGTCAGTTTTAAAATTATATCATCTGATCCTGGTTTCTCACTTAATATTGGCGCATAACTTATTATTAATTTAATCTAACACTTGACTGTATTGGGTGGTTCCGAACAACGAACCAAGGAAGAATGTGTCTCATAGTTTTCTCGACCTATTTACATAAGCGCCTGTTTCAACAGACTCTTCTGGTGAACTTCCAGCTTTGTCGGAAATACAATGTCAAAGGAGATTACAAGATCGCCCTTTTCTTCGTCTTTTGATTTTGAGACTGGCATTCCTTCGCCTACTACCCTCTTAGTGTATCCGGGCTGTACGATATCGTTTATTGGAATGCTAAGCGTCCTCCCATCTAATGTTGGGACCTGTGATTATAGAATAGTTAATTATTGGTCAAAATATGTCTTGCAAACAATTGTGCTGAAACAACAAAGTGTTGTTCTTGAACAGAGCTGGAAATTGAAAACACATTTCAATTTGAATATCGAAAAATAACGAAGATGAGCAATAAGATTGTGTCAACCTCGAAATACAAAAGTATTTATACAGTTTTAAAGTCGAGCTCAGAGTTATCAAGAAATATCAGGTTGTTCATGTTGATTCTTTTATGCTTGTGATATATTCCTCGAGACTTATAAAGTGATTACAACAACGTTCGTCGTTCATGTATTAAGTAAGCCACCCAAGGGGGAGGGGTTTGCCTAAAAAATACGGATCTGGAATGTTCGAAATCTAGTTTATGTAATATTAAAATAGAACTTGCTGACTTGCACCTACTTCAATTACACAGCCAATAAGAGCTTTGCTGAGAGGAACCGTTGCCACATAGTGCAGATCTGCTCCGTTTCTCTTGTACAAGGGATGATCTTTATCCTTCACAATGAAAACTATGTCCGCTGGAATGCTGTTTGGACCTGTAAACATTCAAAATTTGCGAAATTTCGCCAAACTTGGTTAAATACATATGTTTTAAACAGTTGCATTGGTTTGTGTAATAGGGAATAGTAAATATTTCATACTGCAATAATTCACGATTAAAGTCAATAAACTGTATTAGCTTAGTAGGGCCCTTCTAAAGTAGTAAAGTTAACTTGTTTTACGCATCATACACTTACCCTGATCTCCCTCTTTCTGGAAAGTGATTCTAGTTCCGGCACTCCACCCTTGTTTGACATTGATAGTCAGGATCTTGTCTCTGATGCTGGAAGTGTGACCGTCATCATTCATCACGCGTCTGGAGATCTTCATCTTCTTGATGCAACCAGAGTAGATTTCCTCCAGCGCTAATGCTAAATCTCGCTCGATTGGTGGGTCTTGTTTTGGGCGACCACGTCCACGGAGTCCCCCAAATCCTGATAAAAGTTTAAAATTCGAGGTCTATTGTTTATTTATGTCAATCTCGTAAGGTTTTGTTCATTTTAATGACCATAAATTCAACTAGCCTATCAACAATAACCAACAATCAAAAATGACGCTACCTACCGATTGCCATGTCAGGATCTTTTGGGGGTTCAAAGAACTCATTGAAGGGATTATCACCACCAAAGAACTCTCTGAAGACTTTATCTGGGTTACCATGGAAGACGTAACCCCCGGAGAAACCTCCAGTTAGATCGGTAGTGGGGACACCGCTCTTCAGCCCCTCCTCTCCGAACTGATCGTACACAGCACGTGTGTTGGAACTGCTGAGTACATCATACGCTTCTGCTACCTAAACAGTAAACAGTTGTAGGAAATTAAAACATATCCGAGTATAGATGATACGGACGGTTATAATGAAGATTGAAGAGTTAGCTGAAGTCAATTTAGATTGAAGCAAGTGATGTGAAAAGGTACCTCCAAGAAGAGTTCCTCAGATTTGGGGTCGTCTGAACGATCTGGGTGGTGTTTTAGAGAAAGCTTTCTGTACGCCCTCTTCACTTCTGAATTTGACGCACTCCTTGTTAAATTCAAGATATGGTAGTAGTCCTTTCCCATGGCTATATTTTAAATTTTTGTGAGATAACTTGCAGATTAAAATAATCCAAAACATTATTCGATGTTTTACAAATGGCACCTAAATCCTGTCTGTCCCAGTCAGTTCTGTTATTTCTACATATAAAGCAGAACTGAGCATGTTCTAATAGTTATAGTAAATTGAAAAACTTTGTGGGAGGGAATAACATCTCAATTCTAAAATGACAAACTGTCAAATTGTTCAAATCCAAAGATATAATACTAATAATTGAAATCGGGATTCAGTTAAATAGAGAATGTGATTTTACATCAGTTTTGTTTTCTGACACTAAAACATATCATAATTCATAATTTAACATGCTACCGTACAATTTATCACATTCTACTACTATACAAGTTAACATTCTAATGTACAATTTACAGGATTTCAGAGTCGAATACAAGTCGCATGCTTTAATTTCAATCAGCATGCATCTTAAACGTGCAAATAATAAAAACAGGCGACCATATTCGCTGTAGTGTAAGAGTGAATTTTTCCTTTAATTATTCACACAAGCTTCATACGGAATTTTGTAAACTCCTCTTAAAGACGCGAGTAAATAAGAGGAACTTATTTCGATTGATATGTTGAAAACCAGCATAATCCACTTTGCAGATATAAATATAAAAAACGATCTTTTCCAATTTTATGGCAAGCTCAAACTGTCTCCGCAGTCCGCATCTGATCGATATGTGTGCAAGTTTTTTATACACTTCATTTCACTTTCTAAAATGAATGTTTTGACTAAGTCTACGCTTTTTCTGCTGATTTAACAGCTTTTCTTGCTTCCCGTCGGAGTAGCTTCTTCTCCTCTTTAATCTGAAAATATAACGATTATAATATAATGATAAGATTTTGAAAGTCCATTTTCCACCATAGTAGTAAGTAGTACCTTCATGATGGCCTGTTTTAACCCTCTATTAGAGCGTATAATTTGGGTAATTGTTTCAGTTAATAAAATAGGAATAAAATTTTGTTGACCCCTTCAACCTTAAAAGCTGTTAAATACAACTTTCACCGAGATAACGAGATGAGTTGAGACCGTGGCACAATATTGAAATAAAGTTTTAAAGGTTAACCTCCCCAATAGCTGTTTCAGTCACATTAACCAGCAATCAAACCACATTACCATTGTTTAATGGCACCGGATATTTAAATACTAATTCATCTCATGATATTGATAGCACTTTTTATGTTCCAATCCTAACGTTATAACAACTTTTTTGGCATTTAATTACAAGTTTTGTGGATTCATTGAGTGATTAAAACCCTAGCCAATTTATTCCAATTTAAATACAAGCCACACTGCACTAAAGATGACAAGATAAGCTGGTCAATAGGAGTATTAATTGTATTAATAGCTTTTAATGTTGTCTCCAGTACATTATTTATCTTTAATTGATAAAACATGAAAAGCGAGTGTCATATTGGGTTATGATTGACTATTGTCTCGTTTTCTCGATAAATTTTCTGCTAATTGCTATTATTCATCTAAGTAAGATTTTGAACAATTCATATCCTATATATGTAATATGTAGGTCTAATTTTTACAAAGAAGACATTATATGTGTCACTCAACTATTTAAATTTGTCCTAGATTTGTTACCTGAGAGTTTATTCGAGGTCTGATGTCAGGCTGTGTAAAATGATTCGCAGCAAACTCTACCACCTGTTCTGGTCTTTTTAATAAAACCTGACAAAACAGAAAATCGACAAAGCTGGTTACAATGAAGAACTATAAAATATCTTCAACGTCTTAAAGATTCCTAACACGGTGTAATTATTTAGTTCAAAGCTGTAGCCTTTTTATTGAAACACCTTCATTTTGCGAATCAAATGCAGAAATATGTCATTTCTAACCTCATGGAGGAAATCTGAAATGAGACAGGATACTTCAGGATGCTGACGCAGAAATATCTCATTGTCTTTTCGAGCTTGTATCTTATATTTATTTAAAGCTGCTTTCTGGTCTTCTGATAAAGCTATTGGGTTAGCTTTCTCGATCACAGCATGCTCCATGACACTGACAATTGGAATATTAAATTACTGTCACCAAGATGTAACTAGGTCGAACGGAGAAATTAGGTCTCACGCAGGAATTAGGTCTCACGCAGGCGCGTGATATACATATAAATACACTTAAAAGCCGCGCCTGCTTGAGACCTAATTCCTGCGTGAGACCTAATTTTTCCGTTGGACCTAGTTACATCTTGGTGACAGTAAGTACATAATACGCATAATTGGTAAGTGGCAACTGTTCCCATTTAATCGTATTTTGCCAATGAAAAACAAATAACAAAGTCATGTTCACTGTTCAGTAACATTCATTTGATCAACTGTTTAAATTAAATGGAAACTGTAATTCAAAGTTTAAATATATTATTTTTTCTCACAAATAGGCAGTTTTTATTATTAAATCTTCAAAAAACATCTTTATATAAACTATTTAAAAGATAGAGATTTAAAAACCAAGTTGGTTTGTATCAAATTTAAAATAAATAAAATGTGAATTCAAAAATGGTATACTATAAATTATGGAGAATACGTTAAGGGGGCTGGGGTCTCAATGTTGTGGATAATTTATTTTTAAAATTTTCAAAAGGCAAAGAGTGAGATATTCCAGATGCTTTTTATCAAAGAATATTAATCCTGGCCAAAGCTATGGGTCCTTGAAGGTCAGAGTGTATGTGTTATCCTATTGCACACAAAATATCAACCAAAATTGACAATTTTTAAATTCCCTACTCTTCATAATGTTCATGGGATCGTTTTTGAAACTTGGCAACACAAACTACGAATTATAATTTAGAGAATCAATTTCGGAGCAGGGTTTTGAGTTGTACAAATCAAATTATTAAATCAAAGTTCTAAACAAGGGATAGTTTAAAAAACAACGCCCAAGTCTAATCTTTCCCTAAAATAAAAACTAAAAATCAAAAACTTCACTGTAATTCCCGCCAATATCTCTTGTCATACGCTAAATTACGGAGATAATGCAGGTCAAAGATATTATTCAAATAAATATTTCTTTTACATAAATCATGCACAATCAGCGAGAATAGATTGCTTTGGGGTCTTTCTCTTCTCCCTGGTAAGTCCAGTGTATTGATGGCAAAAATGAGGGAAGAAAACGCTGGTCCGTCAAAAGGACCCCGCAAAACATGTCCTAACATTCTCCACCGACTACGGGCCACTTTTTCTGACAATGGTTCAGCATTGCAGCGTTTATACAAGTTTTTGTTGGAGATGACTCCTGGGTACTTTATATTCAAAATAGTGCGAAGATGTCTGCGGTGAACAACATCTAGTTTTTCAAGGAATATTTTGGGGACGGCCCAACAGGATGAGTTGTACATAAGAACCGATACGACTAAAGCATTGTACAGTATTAGACGTTTGTTTAGGGGCAGTTTATCACTCCAGGCCTTCTTGTAATTGTTGAAAGCAGCATATCCCAGGTTTATGCGACGCTGAATATCAGCTTTGCTACACAAGACGGACCCTAGAGTGATACTTTTCCTTCATGCTTCATTCCCCGACACTAATTTTCCATCATTGTCGACTTCACCCGTACTAGCTAAATAAACATGAGTGAAGTCCGTTTTGTCTTCATTGACAAAGAGGTTCCATTTCTCGAGTATAGCTGTTGCCTGGGGCAAAATAGCTCTCAAGTTGTCTTCCTCTTCATCATTGAAGTCAACATCATCAGCATATTCAGTGTCAAGTGGAAGGCCAGCAATAGTAATCGGGGGAATCGGCCTATCTAAACTGATTGTTATAGTCCATCTAAGTTCATTCAAAGCACCAGCCAAGACAAGGGTGAACAGACAGCCGGATAGACAGTCACCTTGGAAAGCTCCAAGGAGACTTAAAAACTCAGCTGAAAGAACTCCATTTACCTTCACCCGTAGCTTTGTGTTGGACAACAACAACCGGACAATCCTCAGCTCATCCTCAGTACAGCCACACAGTTTCAGGAGTTCAAGAATCGTAGTCCGTTTGATCGTGTCAAACGCACTAGACATATCAATGCCCATGCGATGATACTCCCATTTCTTCCTTTGGACAACTGACAGTAGAACTCGCTGACACCAAACAATATCAGCACAAGAACGAGCGCGTTTATATGCACACTGCCATGGACCAGTGAAGGCGTTCACTTTTTCTTCGATCCTTTTAAGAGTAGCCATAGACAAAATTTTTCTGGCTGCATTGGACAAGGTGAGTGGACGTAAATTCTTCAGAGGACCAATAGGTTTTTTTGGCTTCTGTAAGGGTGTTATAGTAGCCTCTCCAATGGAAATGGGAAAAGTATGTGTCTTGAAACAACTGTTTATGATTCCAGCATAATGTTCATGGACTGTACTATTAGAGTACTTAATTAGCTCGTTGGGTATTCCATCAGGACCATTAGCCCTCCCATTTTTCAAGCTAGAGGTGGCTGCATGTATTTCAACTCCAGTAAAAGGGACATTGAGAGCACGTGGTAGACCCTCAAAAGGCTCGAGAGGTTGCTCATTGCGAGTCAGCTGTTTTTCGAGATAGTCTCTAACAACAGAAGCTTTCATGTTGTCAGATGCAATCAAACAGCCATTTTCATCATGAACACCAATCGAGTTATTAGGTGGTTTACTTTTCTGAAGATGTCTTACTGCTTCAAACATTTTCCTTGAATCGTTTGTGTTAGTAATATCACTATAGGTCTGATCAGCTTGAGCAGACCTCACTTCAACTAATCTTTTCTGGATACTATTAGTGAGGTGGTTGATGGATGACCTTAATGTAGATCGATCAAGAGATTGATTATTGTTAAGTAGCTGTCGGAGATCGTGACGCTTTTCAACAAGCTCTTTGAGGGTGTCATCACTGCTGTGTCAAGAAAACAACAATTTCAAGAAAACAATTGCTGACAATTTAAACTTTGTCTGACTTTCTGTCACAGTTGAGAAAGGACATTAAATGATGACATGTTAATCAAAATGCAAAACATCTCACACCATACTTAGGACGCAAAAAAAAAGATTTGTAACTATAATTTTAAAGTCAGGAGCAAGCAAATAAGCTAATGACAGCAAGTGCTAGAGGACAAAAATGGGAGTTAAAATGGGAGTGCCTTAGTACACAAACCACTTGAATACAAAATTGTCTCACTAATAAATAACAGAAGCAAATAGGCACAAATTCAATACTTATTGTCTAATATCAATTGATATAACATAGTGATATATTTACATTAAATTCAACCCCCAATCACGGTTTTCCCAGTCGACCGAGTCAACCGAGATTTTACACAGATGTGTACTGTTTATCCAACAGAATCCTTGGCTCATTCATTATACTGTTACAACAAAGCAAGTTTACTTACTTACTTTAGCAGTATATGGTCATTCATTTAAAGGAGATTCAGTTATTAAGAAAATCAAACAAGACGAAAGGAATTCAAACACTTCTCCCAACAAGTTGGATATGCAGATGACTCTACAGATAGGTAGGGAAATATTGGATACACTTGCATATTTATTAATGCAGTGAAACTATCGGACTACGATAAATGGGGACTTGCCACCCCATGGCAACATTAAAATATATCGACTTTGTTACATCGTTTCCTGTTAATATAAAACTCTGTAACAAACTGAATTGTGATCTGGCAATACTACACATCAGAGCAATAAAATTTGGTAGAGTAATGTACAACTATACTGATGCAAATGTCTAATAAAATGTTAGACTGAAAATTATATACTACTAGAAAACATAATGCGGATCTTCGGAATTTCGCTGGATTGTACACCTTTCGTCTTGGTAGATTCCAAACACAAGGAAATTTTCCTTCTGGTTGGTAATATACTCAATGATGGGAGTATAGTGTATTGGCTATGCCCCGCTTACTAGTTTAGCTCTTTCTAGTCCCCTGCTACACGGCATGTAAACAGGGATTGGCTAGTTAGAGGCGGTCCGTGTAGGCCTTACACTGTGCTTTCAGCAATACTCATAATAGTTAACTACGAAAGAGTATTTATCGTAAATAAAACTATAGTTGATACACGAAGGAATAATTCGTTCCAGTCATCATGCCATCAGTCCAAAGTGGTATTGTGAATGCAATTGGCATTCGTGAATGCAAGCAGCAAGGGAACTTCACTATTCAAACACAAGAACAGTCCAACAGGTACAAATTACAAAAGCACCACCCCAAAGTATTCACAATTCAGATCATGAAAATTACAAAAATGCGATTACAACAAAAATCTAAAATTCGGTTAGTTTTTTTTTCCTTCACTTTTTTAGGTTTCAGCAAGACGCAGCAAAAAATTACATTTTTGTTCTTAAAACACTTGGCAGAAAAAGAGCTCTTACGCTTGTGAAACAGTTAGTGCAACCGCATTGGTGCATTAAAACGACTAATATATATGCAAAAAGTACAAAAAGCTGTTAAGAAGGTGACTTAGCAACTTATTGCAATAATTGATAATATCTTTATGCTTTAAATCCTTGAACTTATGATCCAAACATTAAAATTTTAAATTTCATTCATAAATTTAAGTTGTAACGCGATGCATTGATTCACGATGTCAATCCTTCGCAGCTCGGCGAGGCCCAGTGGTGCATTTACCGAGAAGATGCGCGGCGCGGCCCAGCAGTGCATCGCGCTACAACGTTGACGGATGTTACTCGTCTAAATTTCTTCGAAGTAGCGCGCGCCGCTTTCTTCTCGAAATGTTAGCCCGATGGCAAGTGCCACAGAGTAGCGCGCGCCGGGTCAGACCATTAACAATGGTCAAGCTACAACGCGAATCGCGATGCACTACTGGGCCGCGCCGCGCATCAAATAATTCTTCTCGCAGATCAGCGAGATGCACCATTGGGCCTTGCCAAGCTGCGATAAACATTGACATGACATCGTGAATCAAAATATTAAGCTATTATATCATATATTATGTGGACTGTTTAGCGGCGCGCGTTATTTAAATTGAAACCAGATTTTTTTCGAACTATTGGTGTTAGGAAAGAGCCATATTCTAAAAAAGTGTGAACTCAGTGTCAGACTGCAATTTGGAAGCACTGAAATTCTACCTACGGAGTGCAAAGGAGACAGCTGGAAGAGTCTGGGTGTCAAATTTGATGAAACTTTAAATATGGAAAGACAGATCAATAATGTCAAAAGGAAATGTAGCTGGACAATGATGAACCTAAGAACTATTGGTCGTTACCTAGATGAAGGCATTAAATTGATGTTGGTGAAACAACTGGTTATATCTAAGTTAGATTACTGTAATTCTCTATACATGAATCTACCCAAGACCAGACTAAACAAACTTAGATCCACCCTTAATGGGGCAGTTCGTTTCATCTATAACATAGAAGACAGAACCACGGACTTGGTTCCCTTCTATAAGAAGGCCCACATACTCCCTATAGACCAACGAATCTTCTTTAAGGTCTGTCTTTTAACCCACAAATCAGTTCACGGTACTGCACCTGATTACCTAAAAGCATTACTAGATGTGGCTGTAGTGGATACAGAACTTTCAAACACCATGACCAGGTCGAAAAGATCTGGTGACCATCTCATGTTAAAGGTACCAAAGAATAAAAGGTCCAAAGTTGATGACAGACGTTTCTCAAGCCATGCACCGATTGCATGGAACTCTCTTCCAATAATGTTGAGATGTATTACTGATACCAACTGCTTCAAGCGAATGTTAAAGAACCATTTATATAATCAGTTTTGATGTTTTTTCTTCCCATTTGTCTTCACTTTGCAAGACACATTGGCTTTTATTTTTTACTGCACTCCATTTTATGTCCTGATCTCTACCTTTCTAGGATCTGTCTCTCTTTTTTGTTGATCATGTCACTGTATTATCATTTATAATACCTACACGTATTGTATGGTTTCTGTTTCTTTTTAGTTTAGTGTGGTGTTTACAATAAAAGATGTTTTAATTTTGTCTTAAGCCCTTTTGAGTTATACTTTTGTTCATTTTACACATTTGCTCACATTACTCACAGTCAGCCGCTCTGACATGGTTAACCTCTTCCTTGTGTTGTTGGTCAATCATATGAGCGGGATATAAATACCTCATTTCATTTCATTTCATTTCATCTGCAAACTAATCAAGTATCTGACTGAAAAGCCGCACAATGTTTTGAGTATACGAGGTTTGTGATGTTATTTGGGTTTATTGGGGTCTATAGATCAAAAAAAATTTGGGTAGACAAAAAGTTATGTGTCCACCAGGTCTGTGGCCACGCCCTTTTATATGATCGTGGGAAAATCTTACCTTTTCCTAATATAAATTCATATTTGCTCAATCAAAGCAAGTAGGGTATCAAAACTAATGTTTTTTGACCCAAGAAATCGATTGGTGACATCTATTTGACTTTCAGACCACTCCCAGATAAGATAACCACGCCCATATTTACAATTGAGCGTAAAAATTTCCAAAAATGTAAGCAATTTTTTTGGGCAAGTTGGGTGTTGAGACCCATGTTTTTTGACCCAAGAAATCGATTGGTGACATCTATTTGACTTTCAGACCACTCCCAGATAAGATAACCACGCCCATATTTACAATCGAGCGCCAAGAATTCCCAAATACTCATATGGATCTGAAGACATTCCCGTCTATATAACTTCTGGCCCGGGGTTTGAGACTTGGAATAGCTCAAGTGACCCATCAGAAACAAATATGGCCTGGGTAGAAATTGTTACTATGGTGCAGTTTTGCGCAATTGACCACGCCCTTTTTTTGGCACTTTTGCGACTTTAAAATCAAAATAACTCCGCTTCTAATTGGAATTAAAAGCTCAACTTGGCTTTGAAGTTGTTCAGAATCATCACATTTAGGGGGGTAGAGCATATTTCTAAAGTCACTAGACATCAGGTTGTTGAGTTATATGACCACACCCTTTTTTTCTCTCGAGAGTCATAATTTGCACACTTAATACGAGATATCTCGGCTTCTGATTGAGCTAGGTGCTTATCCGGGGCATTAACTTGTTCAAAATCATCAGTTTAAGTAGGGTAGAGCATAATTTCAAAGTCCTCAAAGATCAGGTTGTTGAGTTTTTTGGCCAAAACCTATTTTTACGCTCTTGCGAGTAGCAATTGCAGCGCTTAAAATTAAAATTACTCAGCTTCTGATTGAAGTTAGGAGCTAAACTCGGGCAGCAAAATGGTCAGAATTATGATATGGAGTGGGGTAGAACGTGGTTTCAAAGTCCTCAGACATCAGGTTGTTGAGGTATTAGGCCACACCCTATTCTTACGATATCGCGAGTAGCAATTGACACACTTAATACAAAATATATCGGCTTCTGATTGGAGTAAAGAGCTAAACACGGGCAGCAAAATGGTCAGAATTATCATATTAAGTGGGGTTAAGCATAATTTAAAAGTCCTCAAACATCAGGTTGCTGAGGTTTTTGGCCAAAACCTATTTTGACGCTCTCGCCAGTAGCAATTATAGCACTTAAAATCAATATAACTCGGTTTCTGATCGGAGTTCGAAGCCAAGTGTCGACCGAGTCTTCGGCCTCGGCCTCGGTTTTACCGAGGAATAGCGATTTTTCCTCGGCCTCGGTCAGGCCTTGTTCGAAGCTGAATTTGGCCATTAACATGCTTATTATGTTCAGAACTATCACATGAGAAGTAATCTCAAAGTCCTCTGGTATCAGGTTTATGAGTTAATAGACCATAACCTTTACGCGACCAAGACAAAGCTACTTGTCTATGTTACTGAAGGTAGTTGGGACAACCGACAAACTCTAAAGATGAACTGCGAACCTTGATGCGGGACAGGGATGTATGGAGGGGGTTATCTGGCGTAGATCGGACTTAGTTCTGACATAGTAGTAGTGGTATTAGTAGTTTACGCATTTGTGATAACAGCATTTCATAATGAAATACTAAGATATCTCCGCTTCTGGTTGGAGTTGAGTGTTAATCTTGGACATTAAAATGATCAAAGCTTCGCATTGAATAGAGTACACAGACATCAGGTAGAACCATGATCTAGCCTCTACTCCCCTTACTGCTCTAATTCTAAATATCTTCATGCCCAGGCTAAGCACCGAACTCCAATCAGAAGCCGAGATACCTTTTAATGAGTTTTGTAATTGTTGCAAGTAAGTGCTTAGAAATATGGTGTGGCCTAACAACTTAACAACCTGATGACTGAGGACTTTGAAACCTAACTTAATGTGATAATTCTGACCATTTTACTGCCCGAGTTTAGCTCCTAACTCCAATCAGAGGCTGAGTAATTTTAATTTTAAGCACTGCAATTGCTACTTGCAAGAGCGTAAAAATAGGTTTTGGCCAAAAAACTCAACAACCTGATGTTTGAGGACTTTTAAATTATGCTTAACCCCACTTAATATGATAATTCTGACCATTTTGCTGCCCGAGTTTAGCTCTTTACTCCAATCAGAAGCCGATATATTTTGTATTAAGTGTGTCAATTGCTACTCGCGATATCGTAAGAATAGGGTGTGGCCTAATACCTCAACAACCTGATGTCTGAGGACTTTGAAACCACGTTCTACCCCACTCCATATCATAATTCTGACCATTTTGCTGCCCGAGTTTAGCTCCTAACTTCAATCAGAAGCTGAGTAATTTTAATTTTAAGCGCTGCAATTGCTACTCGCAAGAGCGTAAAAATAGGTTTTGGCCAAAAAACTCAACAACCTGATCTTTGAGGACTTTGAAATTATGCTCTACCCTACTTAAACTGATGATTTTGAACAAGTTAATGCCCCGGATAAGCACCTAGCTCAATCAGAAGCCGAGATATCTCGTATTAAGTGTGCAAATTATGACTCTCGAGAGAAAAAAAGGGTGTGGTCATATAACTCAACAACCTGATGTCTAGTGACTTTAGAAATATGCTCTACCCCCCTAAAAGTGATGATTCTGAACAACTTCAAAGCCAAGTTGAGCTTTTAATTCCAATTAGAAGCGGAGTTATTTTGATTTTAAAGTCGCAAAAGTGCCAAAAAAAGGGCGTGGTCAATTGCGCAAAACGGCACCATAGTAACAATTTCTACCCAGGCCATATTTGTTTCTGATGGGTCACTTGAGCTATTCCAAGTCTCAAACCCCGGGCCGGAAGTTATATAGACGGGAATGTCTTCAGATCCATATGAGTATTTGGGAATTCTTGGCGCTCGATTGTAAATATGGGCGTGGTTATCTTATCTGGGAGTGGTCTGAAAGTCAAATAGATGTCACCAATCGATTTCTGGGGTCAAAAAACATAGGTCTCAACACCCAATTTGCCCAAAAAAATTGCTTACATTTTTGGAAATTTTTACGCTCAATTGTAAATATGGGCGTGGTTATCTTATCTGGGAGTGGTCTGAAAGTCAAATAGATGTCACCAATCGGTTTCTTGGGTCAAAAAACATTAGTTTTGATACCCTACTTGCTTTGATTGAGCAAATATGAATTTATATTAGGAAAAGGTAAGATTTTCCCACGATCATATAAAAGGGCGTGGCCACAGACCTGGTGGACACATAACTTTTTGTCTACCCAAATTTTTTTTGATCTATATACCCCAATAAACCCAAATAACATCACAAACCTCGTATACTCAAAACATTGTGCGGCTTTTCAGTCAGATACAGGATTAAACGCTGCCATTTGTAACCGTCATACATTTAATGTTTAAGGTATCAGTAAAATGGCATGAACAAATACAATTCAATATATACATATATTGTTTTGTTTATATATATATACTAAGATTAAAATATTTTTTGTTTTTGAGCGTTACCTGAGGACCCCAGGCTATTGTGTTCATTAACATAAAAGAATAAAGATTTGGCGGAATGACAGGCTGAGCGCGGCCCAGTAATTTGAGCGCAGCATAACTGTCACCAAAATTAAACTTGGTTGTTGAAGTACGCGTTGTTGGTTGTAGTGCGATGCACATTGCACTACTGGGCCGCGCCGTGCATCAAATAATGTTTCTCGCTAGATCGGAGAGATGCACCACTTGGCCTCGCCGAGCTGTGAAAGATTGACATTGTGAATCAAAGCTGTACGCGTCTTTAACAAAATATTAAGATCTTAGTTGACGATGCAATATTGCAATGCCAACCCTTCCAAATAATTATTTTACAAACCATGAAAACTATCCTGTCGAAACTTACTGGGCGGCGCTCAGCCTGTCATTCCGACGAATCTTTATTTGAACATAATAGCCTGGGGTCCCCAGGTAAGTTGAAACAAGAATGATTATGACTTGAATAATAACTCAATCTGTGTCCATTAATTGTAGTTTGCTGATTTTCGGGGATATGTTTTCTAATCGTTTTAAAGGACTTTATACTTGTAGGCCAGATTTTAATTAGTATATAATAATCACATTTAATTATAATATATTATGTAGAGGGGCATCGACATGCAACTTTACGCTACTGGTCCTATCTCATCCAGGATACTGAACTGTTGATCTTCATATGATCATCCTGTGATTCCCTTTAGTGCAATGGTCTGCACTCTCCGATCCTGTATCACCCTGGATTCTTCTCGACGTATCTTTGTAAAAGGTATATACCTTCTAGTCAATCTCTTGCTACTTCAAGTCCCCTAAGATATCTGATCTAAAGTTCGTGCTAGTTATATATATATGAAATATATTTTTGTCTGCTTTAATTGATACTAAATAAAATTGTTGTTTTCTTGAAATTGTTGTTTTCTTCTTGAATGAGTGTGCTTCGTAGCAGTTAAAACCTGAATTGTGTTATGATATGATTTTTTGACCTGACTCTTAGTTTCTTTCTGATCAGCTATCATCTCAGAGATATGATATACAAACCTAGTAGTGGAACAAAGGGTCCTTGTTCTGAGTGAAGCGAAGTGGTTTTAAGCTACTTGAGTTGCAGTTAGGATGTGTGACCCTGATGTCTAAGTATATTCTTTCGATGGGTGCATACTGTCTAACACCTGCAACATTGAGACTTGCTTCATGTTGGCCTTCCTTGAGAATGAAGTTAGTTGGACATGCAGGAGTGTGGATTCTATCCTTACATCCTTACACTTTGCTTCTTGGAAGTAGAAAGCTGCAGTGTCTCTTATGGTATTGTGGTGCATGGAAAAGTATTCACCTAATTTATGATCAAGGGCGTGGTAGACACTGTTCACATTGCCACAGCCATAGCGTAGATGTATGCTGTCTTGCAACTCTTGTCTGTTCAGAACATAATTGTAAAGATTATTTCAAAAACGTTTGCATTTGAGGAACCAGTAAATCTGTTAATCTCCCTGAGATTAATGCTCAATGGCTAGTGGGAACCCAAGAAACAGTACAGCAAGTAAATTTAAGTGGCTCCTAGCGTGTCTTCTAAAGTGCACCAGCTACCTGCTCAATTGGGTTGAGGGTTCCCCAGGCCCAGGTCATTTATCACTGTATAATTTTAAAACTATTTAAAGATATCAAAGATAAGAAATTTTTACTACGATGTATAGTGCTAGATTTTTATCTAGTCAGGTAAAGTCAGTTATGAATTTCTTTTGAATAAAGAAAATTGCTTAAAATTACCTATCTATCATAGCAAGAAGTATGACGGATGATATCAAATGTCTCACGGACTCCCGCATGAGAGCAATGGAGATCATAAAGCAAAAAATGGTTGAGATGAAAAACCAAAATGAGAAACTAAGTAAGTATTTACTCAAATCTTATAGTAACAGTTGTTTCCATTTGTTATTATTGTTGTTCTAAATTATTTCGGTTGTTGCCTGTTTTGTCTGATTGAAGTTAGAAGTATTATATTCTAACAGATTTTAACAAGAATTGCGCCCGTTGTTTCGTTTTGGCGGACGTTAGATTTCCATTCACTATTTAGATATAAATATAGGCTCCAATCAGCTCACTTCATAATAATAATATTGATACACATCAGTACACTATATACTACGCATGCCACGTACAATTTGGGCTCATTAACTAATACTATACATTTCAAAGTATACATTAAAATACAATCGCGCCGCTCACTCATTGGCAAGCTAGCTTTATACATCATATCTCCGCAAGCAATACTCGCACGCTACACTGAGCGGCGAGCGCTAGTTAACATGGTAACTAACGGAAGGAACACAACATACTCAGACCCACCTACCACAATCTCCAAAATCCACGTTTTTCTGCAAAAACGTCCATTCGTAACCTTTCACTATTGCCATTTTCCAAAAAATTGCACTGAATAGAGCACCTCTCTCTAGTTGCGTAAAGTTAGGTCTTTTTGGTGCCCTCTACAGCTTTTCAGCACCCCCGGAGCTTTTTGTACCTCTAAACATTTTTATTAGGTTATGTAGTACATTTTGCTGCCAAATTGGACGATTTTTTGCAAAAGAAATGTTATATTTGGGGAAAAGCATTCCTTCTGATGGCACTGTCCCCCCACAGCGTGAGCGGTGTTTGCTGAGACCTTAGTTATGCAACTACCTCCCTCTTTCTCTCCCTATCCCTTGTCATTCACGTGTTAAATTTCAGGTAATGAAAATGCCGAGCTGACAGACCGAAGTCAGACACTTGGTAAGAGCTATGAGGAGCTCATAATCGAAAACGAAAACCTCTCCAAGCAGCTCAAGTTAGTTTTCTTACTTATAACTTATTTAACTAAGGTGATATGTAATCAATACATTTGTATTCTTGATCGTGCAAATAATCCTATTCCATTCTATTATCTGTAAAGTTCAATCATGATCACGTTTTTCTACTGGTCAGTAGTATACGTATCTATATCATATTTCCATCATATCTGATTTTATTGAACCGCAAATGCTGAGCGGTAACTTAGTGCAAGACTTCAGTGGCCTATTTATTGTCCATTGTCCGTGTGTGAAGGTGGAGTCTGTGTACCAAGAACTTGCTCAACAAAATTATCAGCATGGTGTTACCCTCAAATCTGAGCTCATCTAGGTATGAACAAATGTGGCCATACCGCTCCTACTTTATTCCTTTGACCAAATATTTGCCAATTAGTTCCCTTGGTCATATATTCATAGCTAAAAGGAATGATGAACAGTGACTCGAGTCACAGCCTGAAATATCCTGCATAATAAAATTATTGAGTTTTATATAAATAGAGATAGTGTGAAAATTGTTCAGGTTGAAATGACATTCCTGTTTTTGATATCCTAGAATAAACCTGATAAGCTCCAAACACATTTATAAACATAACCTCATCAGTTATATCACGTGATCGTATGTTCAATAACGTCCTACCATCAATCAAGTGCTTTCAACCATTGTTGAGGCCATTATCGATATAAGATACAGGATTTAATAAAGTGAACGTTGACACTGTCATAACCAATTTTAAATAAGTCGCTATATAACAGGATGCCTATCTGAACTTGCTCTGTAATATTGCCGGAGTAAATACGTCATTCTTCAAAACAGTTACATTGGATGGAGCATACATTCCTCTTACCTTACTATTGAGTGCTGACTGTACACAGAAACTTGATGCCATTCCTGAGCCTTGCTATTAGGGAACACATTAGGGCGTGTCCCTTCAAATTCTGAATTTGTATAGAATTTATCTAGTAGGTGAAACTGAAAACTTGCACAGTCTTGATTGTAGTTACTTTCTGTACCTGAAGCTGACTGTACAACATATTTACAAAACCTATTACCGTGACGAGGTAATAAAGTATCTCATTACATCTGAGGGGGCCAGCAGGCCAGAAATGTTAAACCACCGCCGTATTTTATGGAAATATGACACCTGTCAACTCAATGGGGCAATCCTCGCCAGGGGGCCCTGTATAATTACACTCACACGGCGTACCTTACTACGTTATTATTATTATAATATGTGTGGCTAATGTGTGGGTAGACTGAAGTGGAATGGTTGTATGTTTGGTGGTTAAGTTATCTTTTATTATGCTTTATATGGAAGTTTTAGATTAAGACTCATTAAGAGTCATATTTATATCTATCTTTATGTCAGTTTATAAGGATATTTATCTGGAGTCCTTTGCATATTGCGTAATCAGCTAATGTATGGGCTTTTCCAAATGATTATAGTTGATTGCAAGGGTGTGGGAATGTAAGAGGCCATCGTTTTTAAATTCCTCGCTTTTTATTTAAGACCTAGAATAGTGAGGTTACCTCATAACGTTAAAATGTTGATTGTTGTTAGTTACTACTATATATATGTTATAAGTTATACATAGAACTTGAGACAGCAAACCTCGCTATAGTTACAGTTTCTGGAGTTTACATTGAAATTAATGTGATAATGTGATAACTACCAAATGTGGTGACCGTCCAAACCTATTTACACACTAAAATTTGTCTAGTGTGGACCTGGACCTTAGTTACCACTTACCAGTGGTCACAACTGATCGGACGACTTACAAGATAGGACTACCAAGTCCTCGGAAAGTAATGTCATGATCGATAATGGTATAACGTCATAATATACAATAGTTATTTTATTTATATAGTAAGCGAACTTTCAGGTGGGTTGATATCAGATTGATTCTCAGAAGCACGTGATCATAACTTACATGTGTAGCAATTGCATTTAGCATGGGAGGGCGCCGCACTGCTTCAACACTGATCATGAGATAGCAAGAGAGTTAGCCAACTTCTAACAGTTCTTAAGTAACGTGGTAACAAATCTAGCAATATCTCTCTCGTGAGGTGGACCCCAGTGATTGACTCAATGATATGATTGTTGTTGCTGTTGAGCTACAAGTGCTGTGTTCCAAGTGTGATGGTCTTAGAAAGAGGTGATGGTTTGGGTTTCAGGCGATTAACTGAATGTTATAGAGTGGTCACATATTACGTAATGATTGAGGGAGAGGGAGGGGTTCTAAATGATTACGCTATTGCTGTTTTACACAGCTATTGTAATTTAACACAATAGCTTTGTGTAAACTGATTACGGAGGGGGTTAAAATGTGCCAGAAATATAATTACATATTATATCTGAACGACCCCAAAGGACGCTTTGGCCTTGGTTGCAGCGTTAAGATTGCAATGGTCGAGGAAGTGATCAGCCAAGTTCAATTCAAATTGACTCGATCTGCATACTTAGCATCTTTTAGTGACATTATATTTGAAGAAGTGGCGCAAGTTTGGAATGCCTGTGATGCTGGCTTTTGATTGGTCGATGTTTAATGGTTGATCGTCACTATCGTGGTAATGTTTCAAAACGAACTCGCAACATTTTGTATCCCCTGATACCTAACAGTTACCATCATGTAATTATCAACATTGGTCAAATGTTGTCTACAAGTAAGTAACAGTAAGTACCGGTATTACAGTAAGTACCGGTATTACAGTAAGTACCGGTATTACAGTAAGTACCGGTATTACAGTAAGTACCGGTATTACAGTAAGTACCGGTATTACAGTAAGTACCGGTATTACAGTAAGTACTGGTAGGCGGTAATACCCATGTCTAATGTCTATACTCTATACAGTATGACAGTTGATAATCCTCCAGTCGAATGTAATAGTCTACATACTGTTGTCATAGTCCTACATACCCACCTACCTAGCAACTTCTACTACGAGTTACATCGATTAACCGGCTAGTAACTCTGTAGTAAACCACTGTCCATTTATACTCACAGTTTTGGAGAAGCGGGCTCTCAACGTATCGGCAAATATGTGGTGTCTTTAGTGTACCTAACGGTCTATAAATCTTTCGTCCTATTCCTGTGTGCTACATTTTAAAGCGGTGCATTATTGTGACCACAAAGGAAGTATGACATGTACTACACCGAGCATATTGCTCATATTATATTATATATATATATCGATAAACATGGTAATTTGTCGGTAGATAATACTTTAGGTATTATCAGCAAGCATAATACCTTTATTTCAGGTATTTTATATACGCAAGAGTAATTAACCATCGACTCATCGGATCCATCTTACTCTCAATCTAATACACCCGAAACAATTATTAGCCTGCATGAGTCATCATTATAAAAATGAGTTAACGTATCGAGAATCATTGTGTTTTAACTTATATTACATTACCTAGGACTTATTTACGTAATACTAGCCAGTCCCATTCTTCTTGAATTTGCCTTCCTCAGCTTCCTATAAGTACATTCAAACAATAGCATCCACACCAGCTGGAAATATATTAGCGACTGTAATTATTGGGGCCCGCTCACATGTACAATGTACATGATAAAGTAGTGCATTTCCTTATAGCTTTATAGTACTGGCGAGTCTTCGCATTAATACTCTAATGATAGGAACTATCTATTTGCAACTGCTGTCATTTTTCTCTTGCTAGACTTACATCATGAGGTTTTGTCCCCCAACTGTTTTAACTTAGACAGCTCATTTTCCGTCAGCATCATTTTGTTTTGTTTTTCCTATTGAATATGTCAACGACATGCCCTAAAATTCACATGGAATTTTGATGTTTGTCCGCAGTAACGCGCGTTGCTAAAATTTGCGAAATTATGTCCGCGCACGTGATAACTGTTTCATCTGTACGTAGAAATTAGATGTTAAAGTTATCCCGCCTCGTGGCTCCGAAACAACTTCATTACATTGAGTTTAGGGATCGTTCATATGAGTATTGCTGAAAGCACAGTGTAAGGCCTACTGTATATTACGTAATCAGCCGAGGGGGAGGGGCTTTCCAAACGATTACGCTAGTGTAATTTGGATACAATAGCTACAATATGTGTAAAACTGATCACGGAGGGGGGCTGGGGGTAAAAATGGTCTAAAAAGTGATTACGTAACATGAGAACGACCCCGGCCCTTATTCCTAATTCCATCGTGTATGGCATTAAGTAAATGTAATGAAACGCAACTTTATCCGCAGTTACTCCGATACTTTCCAGGGACCTAACAGAAACCAGCCAAAACACGGAGGACGAGTTGACTGCCCGAGTCAACATACTGAAGGAGGATCTGCACGAAGCGGATAAAAGGGCGGATAATTCGGAGCGGCAGGTATTTTTATATTCATATTATACTTACCTCAGTATGCCTACCCTGACAGGTCTTAAGGGGACATACACCAAAACTGTTTATGATTAGGACCGGGATTTGACTTCTGACAAGAATAGATCTGGATTCTTGGGAACCACGTTTGTTTGACGTTCAGGCACTGCCGAATCGGCAGTGATTTTAAGTTTTTATTGATCTGTGCAGCTGGAGGATGATTGGTTATGAAATTAAATCGCTGTCACGTGTCAGAAAAATATGGTTCACTTCCCCATCAGAATCCAGATCTATTATTTTACCTGACAGGTATCATAATGATACCTTTTTTGTGCTTCTCTTAAGTTTGAATGCGATGTGATGGGGACCACTGTTCTGGTTATTAGTAGTTACAGGGTGAAAGTTTGAGATTGTGTAATTTCGATCACAAGCCTGGTTAACAGACTAAGAAGGAGGGTTTGAAATGAATCCGCTAGTTTTATTTATACAAAAAAGCTAACTGTAAACTGTAAAGTGTTAACAGAGGACTGGGGTTTAAAATTACCAAAATCTGGCTTACATAGATTTTATTATGTGGATGATCCCTCACCAATAATTTAAGGGGTCCTTCACATAACGTAATAATTAACCCCACCACCTTCGTAATCAGTTTTACACATAGCTGTTGTGTTAAAATTACACTAGCGTAATCATTTAGAAACCCCCATCCTCCGCATCAGTGATTTAACGTAATATGTAAACGACCCCAATTACGTAATAAAAACACTTTTTAGCATTATCCCCATTCCAGGTGGTGTATTTGTTAAAGAGAGTTCAGCAACAGGAAGATCTTGTTGCAGCCTACATGGACGACTACAAGGGCACCGGCCAGTTCATCGACGATTCCATGAACGAACTAATTGATATTTGAGTGATCTCACAAAAACGTCATGTGACGTCATCATATCACGTGTTTCAAGGGTGCTGTAAATATGCTAAGTTTTAGGTTCATTACCGACGTTAGAGAAGAGCTATTGCTACCAATATTTCTTGATTAATAGGAATTATTAATAAGAATTATAATTGTTTTTATCCATAGGAAGCGTTTTGATCACATTAACAATCTTTTAGCTAGTGTACTGACAAATCATTAATTGTTGTTTAAAATCTATCCTAACAATCAACCGTAGATTAAACCACATTATTATTTTAGTCGTATTTTATTCAGAATTTAATAAATTATAAGCAGATTTTTACTTTCAGTTTTCGAAATCGAAGTAATAATTAAATGCTTCGTGATCGCTGTTAAATTATGCATTGTATCAGTTAAAATTGTGATTATATGTTTATTAATTTTACATTTAAATAAAAATTGTGGTTTAAGTTGTTGAGTATTATCAATAAATCGATTGATGAGCTGTTTTGTCTACAATATTTCGATCTTAATTAAGGTGAGAAACCGCACTTGACAAAATTTTAAAACTGGTTTAATACTGAAATCATCTCATCAATGGAGCATTCAATATAACGAAGTACGAGTATAGACGCGCACAAAACGACCGGATAGCTGTTGAAAATTGCATTGTTAAAATGTTATCTACAAATACAGAATAAAATAAGGTATCATTTCCGCTTTCTGTACAAAAAACAAATAATTTAAAATATTGTCTCCTTGGTTCTGAACAAACAGAATTATAAGATATTAAAATCGCTATTTAGATTATCTCGTAATCAACCAAACTTTCAAATATTCATGCTATCCACAATGGTTCCTACCATTCATGGCAATATGAGCTCATAACAAATAGTTTAGTTTAATCGACAGAACATAATATGATAGTATCAATACCCGACACTAAAACGGCAAACCCTAAGGTAATCATAAATTGTATCATTTAGTTGCAAGCACCAATCTTCACTGTTCTAAGATTTACAGAGCGACTCTGAATAGTCGAACACGAATATTCTGCAACAATTGGACAATCCTACAGGGTGGGCCAAAAGTCAGTGTGCAAACGTTGGCCTTAATAGCTCAGTCACTGAGTGCCCAATTGAAATACTTCCTTCTGGTATGACTTAGTACCACCACTGGTTCGAGGAATTTGTCAACTCGAAAAATATTCGCGTTCATTTTTTTCAAATGGAGGTTCATTTTCACATTTGTTTGATAGTTTGGATAATCGGATCAAGCTAAATGTTATTGAATTGTGTTTGGCCATTCGAATTACGTTTGCCCTGAAAGAATGAGAGTTCTAGCTTCTCAGATGACCGAGATATGAAGCATAACAAGCTTGTTCATTACGTGTGATCAGGTGATTGGTTTACCTAATCACGTGATAAGGTGACCCCGTTAACTACCCCGTTAAACATTATGGGAATTGTTAAGGGTGCCCAATTAAGGTGTCGTGTCACGGTGTCACATAATCACCCAGTCAATTTGTTAACGAGATACACAAAATGCTTGTTAACTTCGTCATTTCTAATCCGTTTTGCCTCATTTTTTCAGATCATATGCAACATTTGATAATCTACCGTCTCTAAAAAAATTAGGCGTTCAGGATTTTCAGAGAAAACAATATAGGTGTTTTAATATTGAATGGGCGTGGTCTAAAATATTCGAATTTTCAAATTTTGACGACGGAATCCTCGAACCAGTAAGTACAGTATGCCATCTGCAAAGCAACAGCTCTCAAATATAAAACTCAGCGGAGGTATAAGACCCAACGTTTGCACACTGACTTTTGGCCCACCCTGTACTAATATCCACAAGACGGGAGCTACAAATATCTAATTGGGATCAGTCTACTACGAATAATGGTTCTCCTTAGCGATCATCCGCTTCTCAAGTGACTTGTGGGCCTCCCGCAGCACTGTTTCCGTGTCAATAACTTTGCTGAGGATGGACGGGTTCAGTCCAGCCAGGTTATTCTTGAACATCTTCTGTTTAATTCTCTGTTTGTCCTGTTCTTCTACTCTTGATCTTAGTTTCTGAACGTCTTTGCTGCGTTTCAGGAGTTTGTCGTTCAGGGACTTGATCTCGTGATCTTTGGATTGTACCTTGAAACAGAAACTTTCAAAATGGCCAAGTTTGATTATGCTATAAATTAAATGGGAATTTATGGCAATGATTAAACGTAAACAAACTTCATTTTAAGTCATACTCGATCAGATATTCAAATATTCTGCTGGTTTAAAAAAATGTAATCCTCATTTAACTCACATCATGCTGAAGAGAGTGCATGAGTCTGGAGGGTGGCTGCTGACAAGACAAGTTCTCCACGTGCTGCAGGAGCCTGTACACTGCATCAAGTCTTGTAGACAGTCTGGATACCTCCGTCATCGCCCATGTTGCCTTCCTCTCGTTCACTCTCGTCTGCAATACGGTGCAGTGTGAATAGTGAATTGGAGCCGAACATCGAAGACAATGGTATTCCTTAGAGCATTCAATTTGGCACTCCAATTTGTAGTTAATATTTTATTAATGGAGATAAAGTATCAATAGAAAGAAATATTAATAGAAAAAAGTGTTAATATAAAAAAATGTAAAAGTATTAATTGAACGTGTCAAATCTGCAATGTCCACAATACCTGAACGGATTTGCAGTCGATGAGGCTGTTGTGGACAGCGTTTCTGAGAGCTCTCATAAGTTCTGGCAGTTCGTCCAACCAGTTAGAAGCACACAACAAGATGTAGTCCGATACTTGCATTGTAGAGGGAGTCAGGTTGTGAGGCGAGTAGGAACCTGTAAACATAATATAAGGGGTCTTTCACATATTACGTAATCAGCGGAGGGGGGGGGGGGGGGGGGGGTTTCCGCGCTAGTGTAATTTTGACACAATAGCTATGTGTAAAACTGATTACGGAGGGGGGGGGGGGGGTAAAAATGGTCCCAAAAAAAATGATTACGTAATATATGAACGACCCCTAAAGTCAGGTTAAAGCCAGTATAAAGCCAGGTTAAAGCCAGGTTAAATTCCTGTTAGATTGACTTTATAGTTTATTGACTTGATACGTGATCCCATACAGTAACCAGTGTGTGACAATATTGTAATTAAATGGGCTGAGTGTTTTTTAACACCATGAATCGCTCCCACACGGTAACAAAAGGTTGTACATTATATTGTATAGTGTTATCTTTTCATTTATTAATCTCTTCAAAATATTTTTTAACTTTAGCCGAGATAAAATCACTGAAATTATACCAACATTCCAGCCAAAAATACCGACTAAAATAAGAGCAGTAGAGCCTCTACCGGATTGGAACATTGCCATATAAAAACATAATGACCGCACTAACAATATTTGTTACATGGGCTGATTCTAACTTACTTTTTATCTAGACAGACACCAATTTGATATTTTGTCTAAAAGTTTAAACAACAAATTTATGAATAGAGAAACTTGGAGCCAATATTGGGCATGGATTGACGCCTAGAGATGTTCTAACGAAATCGTAACTATGATAAAAAAGGAGTTGAATAGAATTGATTAACAATTGGTTCAATAATGATTACTCTTCTATAGGACCGTTCACCACCGTCAGCCATTTTTTGGCAATTTTAGACCTCTCTGCAAGCCACTTTTCACATGTAGCTTTTGTGTAGAAATTTTGTATAGGAAGTTTTTTCAAACCCTCTTCCAAAGGCTGGCTAGTGGTGAACGATTGGACTATAAATCATAAATACCACTCACGGGGAGAGTATGTAGTAGAATTGTAGGCGTTGCCATAGGAATGATTATGTGTAGAAGTATGCGTGGTATTATGTGTCAAATTATGTGTAGCGTTATGTGTGACGTCATCAGCGGCACCATATCTCGGCTTGGCACAGTCCTCACAGCGGGACCTGCTCCTCTTCTCGTCAAGTAAACTATCTATAACCTGGCGAGACAAATCGTATCTTTAACATCCAGCTAATATTCTACTCCCCCTACTCTCAGCATGCACAATTTACTTTCATATCGGGAGAATTTAGCCGCAGATCATCGCGAACTTGGGATATTAACTTGAGCGATACTTGCAACATGAATTAAGATATGATATCTTAATACTTTATTGTGCAACTCTTCGTGAGAAGAAGATGCTCATCGGTGGCCATATTAAAACAAAAACCGTTGCGGTGATAAATATGCCGTTAAACTTTGCTGACCGTGCAAAATTCGAGATATGTGGTTAAACGTTTGCAGAGTTAATGGAGATAATAAGCAAACCGAACTGGTCCACACGAAGAAAATTCTTAAACCCAAAGTAAGACATGTAATGTAGCCTGATAGCCTTTGATCTGTTAAATAACTTCTAAAATACCTCGTTCTTATCACGAATTAGTTTACTCTTCTCCCGGAGAAGGCCCTCAGTGCTCTGCAGCTGCTGCTGTAACGAGTCCATCTTCTGGTTTAGGAGCAGCGACGAACTGAGACAAGATGACGGCATAAGTAAGCAGTTGTAATGACGTTATCAATGTTATATTAATATCATTGACATGATCACGAAGTCTTGAGAGATGAAAAAATGCCGCTGGACGTCAGCAAAACGTCTGAGTTGTGCAGCTTAAAATAGCTGTGGATTGTGGAAGATCATCCACGTGAAAAACACGTTCAAAGTTTGTTTGTAAACGTGTGATAACAAGGCCAGGATTATGCAAAGCTTACAAGCACAAGCTCTGATGAACAGTAGATGGAGGCTTGTTAAAACAGCGGCCAGAAATTACTAAAAGTGGGAAGGGCATATAATTAGCAGTTTGGTGTCGTCAATGTCGCGTTTTTGCAAGCTGGCCTGTATGTATCTCGTCTGACCTAATACTCTAATACTCTAATAGTTACTATCTAAGATTACGTGCCCGTCCCTGGTCATACAAGATTATAGATTACAAATTTACATTTTCAGCATATAGCTTTATAATAATATATGCTAATACTAACAGCTATATGCTGAAAATATGAATTTTATGTCCCTCCCTAGCTATTACCCATGTATGTACCTTGTATCGGAAGGCCTAGATTTTTGTTTGTGAAGTCTCTGTTCCAGCCCTTGAATCTTGTGTTCAGCCACCGCTAACTTGGATTGCGTGGCAGTCAACTTACATTCTGTATTTGACAGCTCCTGGAAGGAAGATAAATTCAAAGTGGCTGAAATTCTGAAAATAATTTCTTAGGGCTTTCATCATATTGGAGTTAGTTAGTTATATAGTTTTTCTCATCACCTGCAATAAATTGACCCGTCAAATTTTGTTTCCCACGCTATATTTTGTCTTACTATTAAACTAGTTACTATCCCAACCTGTACGGACTGCTTGAGTTTCCCTTCTAACTCTGAAAGACGAGACTCTTTAATTTTGAGTCTCTGAGCAGTCATTCTGTGATCTGATGCCATATCAGTACCTGGAATACATAATATATAATTGTCAACGATTTGAATATTTAAAATTGCCAACACTAGACTCTGCACTAGATTCAATATTAAAATGTTTATCAAAAGAAGCGCAAATTTCATAAGATATGTAACGGAGATCAAATTATTATTTGAGCGCAGCAGCACGCATGCTGTTCCCATGCTTTAAAAAACATTATTTTCATGCATGAGAAATGTCAAAAGAACAATTTAAAGACTGTCTGAAACATGACTGACCATTAATGTCGACATTGCTGTACTCATGTTGATCGTGACTATTTGCGAGACTGTACCCGTTACTGGGTTTTTCGGGGGACTGCAGCAAACTTGTTGAGATCAGGTTATTAATCTGGAAAAAGATGGGAATGAAATTTCACAATATTCGCAAATAAAGTAGTGATTTTGAAGAGAAATTATTTCCAGAGTATTATATCGAATGTTGCTGCTTTGGACGGAAATTGAATTGAGTCACTCACAGTACTGTCCACCCAATATTAGCCCCAATCTAACTAAACGTTAATACTAACACTGTAAACAGTAAATTACCCTCCCCCACAAACAAGAGCACTGAGATTTTCTGAATTTCTTGCTATTATGCGACAAATGAAGTCTTACTAAAAGTGGTATAGCATAATAGTAAAAGATGGTAAAAGCGGATAAAGGTGGTAAAAGTGGTAAAAGGTGGTAAAAGTGGTAAAAGGTGGTAAAAGTGGTAAAAGGTGGTACAGTACCTGAACTAACATATCCCTAACATGTCTATCTTCGGAGTTAGTAGAGTTTAGTTTCTCTAACAAGTCCTTCATCTCCTTCCGGAGTGCGGCTATTAGCTCTCTACTCTCTAACAGGTTAGAATGCAGCAAGGAGTTTTCTCGTTGTAGTGCTGCAAGATCCTCCTGGAAGTTAGGAGGGGGTTAATGTGACCATCACTAAATTCAGGAGGATTATTGTTTGAGTCTTTTTAAGTTGTGACTGTGGAGCCATTTGAGATTTTCCGGAAAGAAACATCAAAAGTCGCCCTTCTAGAAGTTTGAAGCTACCAATTTGTCTGGTACAACATTTTTATAAAAATACAAATACTCGGGCAGTCTATCAAAAAGAGGACAATAATGAAACAAAAGAGAAAAAAAAACAAAAGAGAAAAAATACCTCAATAATAATAAATCTCTCTTTCTGATAATCCTTCGGAATTTCAATATCCACTGAATCAAACGCAACCATTTTATCGTGCTATAGCAAAAATTACAACAACAAATTTTCCTGGAGCAAAATGGAAGAGATAGCAGGATTGTGAGCGAGTTTGAGTTTTTGAAAACGAGTCACAAGCAGAGCCACATGGGGCGTCGGTCTCCGGCCGTCTTCATTGTTCAAATTCTATAAACATTATGAAAATATTTTAAATCATCGCAGCAAAAAACGTAATGTTATAAACATTTAAACAGTACAACAAGCATGAAAAGAGAGGTGTACTATAAGCCTTGGTCTATCAATCACGTGTTCGAGGAAAATAAGCATGTGATTTAAACTCGATACAATTTGCCGGCAATCCACGACGGTTTTGACTGGTTTTACCAATGTCGGTCATTCTGCCGAAACCGCGGGAAAATATGCCAGCTTCCAATGGATCATGCGTCGCCGATGCCTTGAACTCTATCAAAAGCTTCTTAAGCGTGCTGTTTAAAGTCAAGGACGGACTTTATACATGATGCAATTGAACAAGCAAGTATTAGTTTAACATAAAAACAATAATTCCCGTCCCGGAGCACCGTGTTGAGGGACGAATGTGGTGGCTAACGATCGGGGAGCATAATTCGACCACTCTTTTAACACCACATCAACTGTCACATAAACTATCAACCGAAACAACGATCACAGAATTTAATAATCCGTGAAAATCTATTCAGCATTGTTTGAATTATTTGATTCGATTGACCACGAACAGAATCGATTTATGAACAATAAGCTCGGGCAAAGTATGCATTTAAAAGATCTTTTAAAACCATGATGAAAATGTCACAAATTTATCGCATGGTAGCCCGTCCACGCCACCTTATCTTTTTAGTGAAAGGGGAACCGAGATCAAAGTTGCAATTTTCGGAATAAACAACAAGCCATTGTTGTAAGGTGGTAAAAGTACCACGTTATTGGGGGACACGTTACAGTAACTAATCCCTCCAGGTGGCGGAGAGCAAAATATCATGCTAGCACTCAGCCAGTTGTCCTCCCCAAGAATAGACGGACATGGAATAACCAGTATTATTACAATCATTCTATACATCTCCTTTTTAGGAGATCTAAAGTGTGTTTTAAATGTCCTTTTTAGGAAATATCAAATATCAAAACCCGTAGAAAAAGTGACCTGTCCGCCGTGCACAGCTGTTTTAAAAACAGAACTCAAACTTATCAAAATAAAATCAGAGTTCGAAAAGAAAAGAACATCTTACCGGACGGTCGTATCGTCTGTGGAGATCAGTGACGTCATTGTCACTGCAGGAAATAACCCCACTGGTGGTTTGTAGAGAGGACGTGTTGGATACTTGTCTGTCACGTGACCCGATCAAAGCGTTCACGACTAGTTCTATTGCGTCCTTAAGTGACTCCACCAGGAAATCTGGAAAAATTGACAATTTAAGATCTTAAAACGGGGGGTGAACATTTCAATCAAATTCCAGTCATCGCCAATTCATGGATATTGAACATTTCTAATTTTGATTTTAAACATTTTGACTATTCTCAATTTTGTTCTTAATGAAGAAAAATCAAACAACTGATTCAAATGCAGCAAGAATTTTTAATCGATTCAAATAAGTTTAAGATATGCAAGAAAGGAAACCAATAAACATTATCTAGCAAAGTCACTCCAACTCAAACACGGTCACAATAAGTTCTAACTTCTATCCCATCATACTAGTCAGCAAATTAATAATATCCTTTTCAATATCCCAGTTCCCAGTTTCCCACTCAACATTATTTTAAAACGACTTAAGTAGAAGGACAAATCTAATTGCCGACCCAACTGATATAACCAATAAAATATATTAAATTGCTAAGCGACAAGAACAGTCTCCTAGGACATCGCCAGGCTGCTAGGTTACCCTCAAAAAATACAATATCAGAATCCTCAGTCACCATACAGTCCCACCCTACAACGTTTAACCACGAGTAAGGTAAACTCTCGTGTGTTTCCACAGCTGTCACAACAGCTTCAGCTACCCCCGGGTAGTACACTCCCAGCCCTTCAGAGGAAGTGTTGACGAAGTTGGGGTTGTACCACTTGCCGTAGTTACAGGTCAAGCCAGTGTGAGGGTCTATCATGTAGCAGTTGGTTGCTCCGTGGGATGTCTCCGAGGCGGATCCTGCCCACACCACAATGTCGACCAGTTGAACATTTCCAGTGGGGTCTTTGGCAGTGAGTATGTCGAGTGAGTGAACCTTGAGATCGGGGTGAGCGGCAATGAACTCTATCAACAGGCAGGGTTTACCAGGATACTTGCTCTGGAAGATCTGCTCGATGTCTTCGGGGGACTTGTAGTCATTTCCATGCCTCAAGAACAGGTCTCCAATTCCCATACATGAATCAGTAACTTTAATCAGGAGAGATTTGTACTCCTCCAGCTTTTCCTTCAGTTCTAACTTGTCTCCGTCCCACACGCCTATCTCTGTAGGTATCCTAGCTCCCTGATCGCTCAGCTGCTTCCTCCAAAACACCTTGGTCGTCTTGTCTGTGTCCCAATACATGGTCTGTATCGCTTCTTGATGAGGTCCTAGAATGTAGAAATTTCCCACATAATTACACAGTTCCTGGCTAAAATCGAACAGAACACTTGCGGTAGGACTCAGGTTGTTTGTGAAGAACTGCAGGGATTCCAGTGCGTCATCATTTACATTGAGCATGGGCAGGAAGGAGAGGTTGTTGAAAATGAGGGTGTTCAGGAACACGATGATCGGCCAAAACGGGAGGAGTACCACGGAAGAAATAGCTTTGATTTTCCCTGAGAATATCTTATTGAAAAGATAGGTGTATTTGATAAGTGAGATAGGTCGGGAAAGAAGTGCACAGAAGAAGGCGACCAAAGCCAGGATAATTCTAGAGGAGATGTCACAGATAGAGAACCATTTCTCTCTCTTAACCTGAGGCAATGTGGTGTCCTGATGTATCTGGGTAGCGATTATAACTTCTTTCTCCTTCATTGTATGGGCTTTGGGACCCACACAAAATCTGGTTAAACACCTGATTTTCAAAAGTTTAAGGAGAATCTCCAGAATGTTCCACAGTACCGCAGCACCGGACCATATCAAATACACTGAACCAAAAACACGAAACATATCCAGCACTATACAACAAAGCATTGTCCAGATCAAGGAAACGTCTCAGGCTGGTAAATGTTACTTTCCGATTTTATTATATAGGCGTTGCTGTAGGCTTCCTTTGTCTTGCTAACTCCTGCAGCAGGACTGAAAGAAGATACACGCAAGGCAAATAACAATTGTTAAGCAAAGTTGGAATGATGCCACACAAAAAAGATTTAAGAAGGGAGAGAAGGAGATGTCGATGCAAAGCACTGCAAATCAGGACACACTCACTAAATTGGAGGGGTGACAGTTTAATAGATTTGCTACGTGATATAAGAACACCTGTTCTCACCACGGGGGTTACCGTTGCTCTGCCCGATTGTACAACGATTAACACTGCTTTCAATCAAATCATCCTCGATTATATGACCTTTTGGGGAGGATTGATTGTATTATTGTCCCTTTGTAAAGTCCACCACAAAAATTATATAAATCCGGGTGGCGTTACAATTTGTTTATCAGGTCTTAATGGAAAGGATCTGGTCGATAAATAACAATACTGGTAACCAGCAGTGGCGACCACTGGGACAGTGGGACTGGTGGAGAACAAAAGAATTATCACTGATTGTATTGCCGGGTAATATTAAGTCCAAGGATTGCTCAATAAAGGGCTCCTCCTTACTGTCCAAATGTGGTAAAAGGATCAAAGATACGCTCGAACAACCCGAACATACAGACTAAAGAATTGCTGATAATTCTAGTAAGCCTGGCCGTATCTTAATCTTGGAGCTAAAAAGTCAACCTACAAGACAAATGACAAGTTCCAGGTATTAGCTAAATGGGGACGGTGTTTTAAATACAAACTAACGCTCCGAGCAGCTATAATGGAGCTAAAAGCACCTGTACTTGACATCCAGTACATTGTGAACCCTCCACAAGTAATAAGTATACTCTTTTATATACACAGCTCCACCCTTTTTGAAATGTTGCACAAGAAAGTAACAAGATGTCCCACCTCGTTTCCTGCAGCTTCAGTTTGACTGGGTTATTAATAGACTATAGTACTTCCCCCGTCCCGGTCCCCTGGTCCCCCGTACCCCCGTCCCCTTCTCCCTGCACCACTTTTACACAAAGCCTTTGTGTAAAAATGAAACTAGGTTTTAGAAAGCCCCTCCCTTTCTAGGCTGGATTACAAGTATTCCACCACAAAGAAGTAACAACATGTCTCACCTTCGTCGTGCATGGCCAGTTGAAGAGGGTTGTGGGTGTCGTTATTGTAGCGGTGTAGCTGCCGAATTAGATCATGAATCATCTCGTGTATTCGTCGCAGCTCCTAAACCATTAATTAATGTTAATTATTCAATTATGGAATGACAATGATTAACATGCTATATATTCTATTCCTACGCGTACGGTTATAAAAGGTAGATGGATTACATTAAGACATACAAAGTGTTACTTACATGTACGTGTATTGTATAATTTATATTGTATAATTACTATAATATATTAAGGGGAGATACACCAAAACCGTTTTTGCTCCGAACATCGATTTTATTTTATATTATTTTTAAATAGACAAAAAGAATAAGATTGTACACCTTCAAAATTTTTAAAAAATATTCCCTCATCGAGAAAAAAAATATTTTTCTTTTTCGAAAATTTTTAAAATTTGGAGAAGTCTGTCACTGTAATACCGATAGTTCGGCCATTTAAAAAGTTTTTTGGCTGATTTTTTTACTGAACATTACTTACACTCCGTACTAGAAGCCATTGAAAGGATTATATAATTGAACAATAAATGACCAAGTTACAGACCGAACAAGGTGAAAAAAGAAAAATTGGGATTTTTGCCTACCACCAAAGTTGTACATTTCACCACCCGCCCAGGTCATCAGATATCGCTTCAAAAATTCTTGTGAGTGTGGTTGGTGATCATGGCAAGCTTTTTGGAACCGGATTTCTCTCAATTTTGAGTTTTAAGCTATGCAATGTGGCCTCAAACGACTTAGTAAAATTCATCGTAAAAAAGGGCAAAAAAGGCAGATTTAAGGCTTAAAATGCCTTTAACTCAAAAAGTATCAGTTTTTTTGAAATAATTTTTACAGGATCGTAATAAGCTTGGTAAGACGAATCTTTTAGTACGACATTTATAATATATAATAATATTCAAAGCCACAAAATTTGTAAAAAAATGTGTACAATTTGTACAAAATTTATACAAGGGGGGACCCTTGTGTTCGAGCTAGAAAATTATTTAAGACAATTTGTCTTCTAAAAGCACCTATTTGGTACTAAAAGATTCGTCTTACCAAACTGATTACGATCCTGTAAAAATTATTTCAAAAAAAACTGATACTTTTTGAGTTATAGGCATTTTAAGCCTTAAATCTGCCTTTTTTGCCCTTTTTTACGATGAATTTTACTAAGTCGTTTGAGGCCACATTGCATAGCTTAAAACTCAAAATTGAGAGAAATCCGGTTCCAAAAAGCTTGCCATGATCACCAACCACACTCACAAGAATTTTTGAAGCGATATCTGATGACCTGGGCGGGTGGTGAAATGTACAACTTTGGTGGTAGGCAAAAATCCCAATTTTTCTTTTTTCACCTTGTTCGGTCTGTAACTTGGTCATTTATTGTTCAATTATATAATCCTTTCAATGGCTTCTAGTACGGAGTGTAAGTAATGTTCAGTAAAAAAATCAGCCAAAAAACTTTTTAAATGGCCGAACTATCGGTATTACAGTGACAGACTTCTCCAAATTTTAAAAATTTTCGAAAAAGAAAAATATTTTTTTTCTCGATGAGGGAATATTTTTAAAAAATTTTGAAGGTGTACAATCTTATTCTTTTTGTCTATTTAAAAATAATATAAAATAAAATCGATGTTCGGAGCAAAAACGGTTTTGGTGTATCTCCCCTTAACGTCTACTTACTTTCATTATAACAGTATAAAAGTGAAAAGTTTATTCAGAAAAATCAGAATTTTTTGAAAGAATCACCAAATGAGACTGAATCAGGTGGTCCGTGGTGATGATTCTTGAATTTTTTCGGTACTCACATTTTCGAGATCCTTGCGTTCCTGTCGATGATGGTCGCGCTCAGATTTTATTTCACTAATAATCGTATCCTTCAACTTATCCCCTTCATCTTCTCCTGCGACGTAATCATTCGTTTTTGCTGACACTTTTACTAATTACTATAAAAGTAAATATATTTTGTCACGTAGTATAATATATGGTATGGCACAGTCGAACAATTACTATTGAGTGAAATTGAATCTAAATATTTTAAACAAAGACAAACCAGTATCAGGGTCTATATTATCAATGTTCTCGTAGATGACATTATCATACAAGTTTCCAGGTAAGGGAGTGGTGGAGAGCTGATCCTTCAAACTTAACACGGAGTCCTCAAGAGAGCGTTTGGTGTCTTGCAACTCCTGAAATAAACATTTTGAAGATCTGTATCAGCTTTTACATTACAACCTTAATTTCAGATGAAACTTATACTTTGTTGCTTTTAATCTGAAACTTTCATTCAATCTCGAAGTGAGTTTTAAAATCAAATTTGTCAGTGAATATGCACTTGTCAGTATCTCATGTCAATGTTTATGCACTTGTCAGTATCTCGTGTCAATATCTCGTGTCAGCAGTCAGTATCTCGTGTCAGTGTTTATGAACGTACTTTAACCCTGTCCTCCATGTAAGATTTCCGTGCGGAGAGAGCGCCCATATTCGAATCTTTTTCTGCAATCCTCTTCTTTTCCTCCTCCTTCAACCGTTCTATCTCTCCTTCAATATTCTGGTTGGATTTTCTCAATTTCTCCATGTCTGATTCAAGTTTCTTTACCTGAAATTGTAATTTAAAGGCATTTAGCTATGACAAATTTTCGCGTACATCTTATTATTTCGATGATCTTATATTTTACTAAAGAAGATAACATTGACAACAACCAACCTCAAACAATGCTTTTCCTTTGTCAGTGTTCAATTGCTTTAAGTTTTTATCCATCTTTTCTCTCTCATTAATCAGCTCCGAAACCTGATTCCTGTAATCTGCCAACTCCTGCTGGGCCTTACTCTTCTCGTGCTTCAACCTCGTCTTTTCCTCATGTCCTTGACTCTGAAAATAACGGTTTTAACAAGTTTTAATCATGTGTTCTAGATTTCGTTCTGAGTTGGACGGTGGCGAGCGGAACTGAGACTTGAGGTCGCAGAACAGATGGTATTCAGGAAATAATGTAGCAGAGTCGGGGGACCTTTGAATTAGATGAACATGAAATTGGCATGGTGGTTACCGCTCTTTGTGGATTAGTGGACAGTAATTCTGTGTGCTTGTTATTGAGATCTTTGATAATATAACGCCTAACTGCTGCTTTTCTGAACTTCTATAAGTGAGATGATCTGTTCTACGTGCAGTGAGTGAGTGATCTTAGGAGGTGTGATAATGTTTGTAAACAAACAGTAAGGTTTACTAAACACTGATGATCAGCAACGTTGTGAACTGTGTCAAGCTGGCCTTTCCGTGACTGTGAGCGAAAATGATTCCGTGACACCACGTAACAATGATGACGTCATGAGAGTGAAACTATGTGACAATGATGACGTCACGAGAGTGAAACCATGTGACAATGGTGACGTCACGAGAGTGAAACCATGTGACAGTTATGACGTCATGAAAGTAACACCATGCGACCACACTGACAACATCTATCGTGAGACGAGATGAGATGTGCTTGATGACAACAACCTTGATTTTGAGGAGTTCCTCTTTGAGTTCATCAAGTTCGTCAGTCAGGGTCACTCTCCTGACCTCGCCCTCTTTCAACTCCTCTTCCAGTAGCTCTAGTTCCTCTGTGGTCCGCTCATAGTCCCCTTCTAACGTCTTCATGTCTTCCTGCACAATCCATGGGTTGTGGGAACAAGTTATAACGGAACAAAGGGACTTCCTATTGGAATATTTTCAAGAATAGTTACAAACAATGAATTAAAAGGCCAATTATTACGATCATATTAACCGACGACAAGTAGGTAACACCATGTTCAACTTATTTATTACATTACTTTTACATTTTGTGCTACATGCAGTGATACTGACATGACCCCGGATTATTTGACCTCTTAATTTATCATTAACTATACATTTACTCTGTGGTACTGGTAGTGGTGTATATTGTAGTGTTAATTGCGTGTCACCTGATGAACAGCAAATCTTCAAGCAATTAACCATCTTTAAGTTAACAAACATAAAATTCATCTCCTACGGAAAATAATTCATCTCTTTAGGAAGAACCATTGTTAAACCTGATAGTTAATATTGAGATGGGATACCGACCTTGCAATATTTGAGGTCCTCATTAGCGTCAGAGAGACTCTGTTTGAGGGAGAGGATCTCCTCGTTAAGTTCGTTAACCTTGCTCTCATTTACAATGTCGCTAGTTTTACGGAGCCCTCTTGCTTCCTCCTTCAGTTCACCTACCGAGTTAGTTATGGAGTAAACTGAGAAAGCTAGCCTTTGTATAAACTCTTCCGGTCATAATATTGTACCACATTCATTTAATTCGGAGATTCCAAGTAGAAAAATAAAACACAACCATTGCTTACATATTTCTTTGTTTAAATCCTGGACTTTCTCCCTAAACATTTCGTTATCTTGCTGGAGAAGGGTATTTTCTTTGGAGCACTCCGCGTTTTCCTGCGTTAATAATCATATCAAACACTGTCGAAACATTTTCAAACAAATACTCAATTGAAAACATCCGACACGATACTTATAAAGCAGTCATCAAATCAAAACGAGATTATGGAGCAGATCTCAGAGATGGGGATACAGGGAGAAATGGGAAAGATGGGGATACAGGGAGAGAAGGGGATGGGATCAGAACTGGAAAAGCACCACATCTGAACAAAACAAGAGTATAATTTACTCGTTCGTAAATACAAAGCAAATCTTCAGGTTTTACGAGTGAACACTAATATTATAATATAGTACTATCATTATTTAATTTTTGAACCTTGGAAAGTTTCTCCACGTTCTGTTTAAGAGACTTGGCAATGTGTTCATCCTCCTGTCTCTGTTGTTCTGTCTCCTCGATGTTACCTCTCAGTATGGCAGCCTGCACAAATATTTAGAGTTATATCAGCGGTTAGCCCTGACGAATAGTTGATATTGTGGGTGTTAAGAAGGCTAAGATAGTGACACCATGATGGTCCCGTGGTAAAATGTGTGGTGATGAGGTTAAACGGTAGTGTCCCCAAGTATACTTTTTGAGCTAATGTAGACTTTGTAAGCTAATGTAGCTTTTGTGACTTCGAGTTCGTGAGTTAATGTATCTTGATTTTATTGTAGCGGTCTGTGCTAAGTTGGCGATGAGATGATTAAGCCGTGGCCATATAAATCTTTATAGTGACTTGACGCAGAGTTGTGCGGGATGTTGAGCTTTGATAATGATTTCTGGCTGCGATGAATAAACAAGAAATACATTTCTCCTCAGCAAATGATGCTATCATTAATTTATTCGCAATGGCCAGCACCTCGTTCTTAGAGATATCATTGTTGATTTTAGCCTGAGCTAGATTGTGTCGAAGCTCCTCAATCTCTTCGTTTGCAGCAGCCAGATCTGCCGTTAGTTCAGCAAGTTCGCTCATTCTGTCTGGAGAGTCTGCCAGCCTCAGCTGCAAGGTCATGCCAGCTTATTATTAGCAAGTAATCAGCTTTTATGGGGGAAACTTTCAAGAATGAAACAGCAAATAGTTTTTGTTGTACTAGCGATGCAAGCTTTATATCAGCTTAAATTATGAATCTAGTTAAATATTAAAAAATATAAAATCTCCCCAAAAAAGAAATAATGATCTCGCAGCAGGAAAACCCTGATTCTAGTTATATAAAAAATATCCATAGAAAGATAGAAATCAGGATCTTGGAAATGGAAAACCTTGACTCTTGAGGCTTTCTACCAGCAGATAAGAGCAATAATTTGTACTTTAATTCCCAAACCTCATGCATTTCCTGACGAAGCTGTTCCATATCCATTTCGTAGTCTCTCAATTTTTGCTGTAACTCATCCCTATCTCCCAACTGAGCATATTAATAAATTCAGAGATCATTGATTTATATGTCTTTCTCTAAACATGATCCAAATAACATCTGTCCAAAAATGTAAGATTCGCACAAAGCCCGAAGAGAATGCATGTTAAGTAGTACTTAATTCAACATAATATATCTCAAAATTCCAAACTTTAGCCGGGATACCAGGTCTCGAGAGACAATTACCTGTTCGAGAAGGGCCTCCCTTTCGTTGTTTAACGTGTTTATCATGTTCTTCAGTTCCGTGTTTGTATTCTCCATACTGTTCAGCTCTTCTTCTAATCTAACAAACAATAATTTTAAGAACTACGGATTAAGCTCGAAGGTTATTTTCTTTTTATCGGTCAAAATCGAAAAATTAGAGATTACATAGAGAGATACGATTAACCCGATCTAAAAATTGGCCTCGGCTAACGATATGATCAAACCCATCTAAAAGACATAATGTAAAATAGTTTTAGTGCAATAATCTTATGCCTCATGCATGCAAAATTACAAGAAATTGAGGCAATAATCTTTGCTAGAGTGACTTGGCTGCAGTTTGCAAAGAAGGTATTAAAAAAGCATGCACCAGGTGCACTATGTTACGAACAACTGGCAAATAAATGTTCAATACATTCGGGAGCGGCGAGTATACTGTCATTTAGAAATTTATTGCAGCAGGGAATGGGGCATAATTGATATCACGTGACCCTAAAAGACATCTGCAGCTGTCGGTTTTAGGTTTTACTTTGTAAAAATAATGTAGCTGTATCTTTACGACCTACAAAATGCAAACTGGATGGTGATTCAACAGCGTCTTGTTTAAATTATCATTTTATTAATCTAGAGAAAGATGTATTTTATTAATAATATGATTAACGATTATCGTGTGTAACTTATTTTCATTTCAGGGAAAATCTTCATTGCACAGTCGGTGATTTGAAACAAAAAGAAAGATAACACAAAACTTCAGACAACACTTAAAGTGTTAACCTAAAATTAGTAGAAGTAAAGTTACTAGGTAACTAACCTAGAATTAGTAGAAATGAAGTTACTATTACTAAGTAACTAACTTAGCATTAGTAGAAGTGAAGTTACTAAGTAACTAACCTAGCATTAGTTATTAGTAGAAGTTAAGTTACTAAGTAACCAACCTAGCATTAGTAGAAGTAAAGTTACTAAGTAACCAACCTAGCATTAGTAGAAGTAAAGTTACTAAGTAATCAACCTAGCATTAGTAGAAGTAAAGTTACTAAGTAACCAACCTAGCATTAGTAGAAGTAAAGTTACTAAGCGCCTCGAGCAGACTAGACCGACTATCTCCTGCTTCACTGGATTCGTCTCCTCCTTTGTCCCCGTGACAACATGTCCCATGTGGACAAAGAGAGAGCTGGTCTGTCAGATCCTGAGGTGATAAAATAAAGGAGAATTGGAGACCTAAATAAAGGAGAAATGAATGAGAAATAAAGGAAACTAAAATGGATTATGCATGTCGTATCAACTGACCCCGAGTAACGAATATTAAGGATCTATAAGGAATTACATCATATTTTAATTCATAACAATGTCAATATAAAAATACGGAAATCTGGAATTCAAACAAATAGGTCACAGCATGGCGTTCCAACGCTAAACAAAAACGTTAAACATTTAACAAACGTCAAAAAAAAACGTTAACAAACGTTAAACAAAAAACGTTAAACAAAAAAAGATCAACTACCCACCTTGATGGACTCTTCCTTTTCAGCGAGAGTCAGTCTGTGGCCGATATTCTCCTCATGCGTCTTAATCATAACCTCCCTAACATCTTCCAGTTCCTTCTTCATATCATCCGTCTCCGTCTGGGACAGGTAACTGGTTAACTACAGCATGTTAGAGGATACAGCACAAAAGTTGCTTGTAAAGTTGTAACGATTTGAATATCTTGAATTAAATTAACCTAACCTGATCCTCAGGATGACATAAATTTATTTTAGATCAAGATGCGTTCATAAGACATAAGTTTTAAATATAGAAACAGGTCCAACTCTGATAAGCAAATTACTGATTTATCGTAAAACTTATTTACCTGATAAAGATGTTCCTGAGCTGCTAGCTGAGCTTGAAGAGCCTCAAGGTCCTCGTTAACATCAGCTCCTTTCTCTTCTTTCTCTTGCAGTGCCTTAAAGAAATTTAGTACAGGGTTCTGTGGGTTTAAATATAGTTGATTTACAATAAATTGGAGAATCTGGCACGTCAAATAGAGGAACTAATCTTTAAACTAGATCAAATTCCAACCATGCAGCCGACCAGCACTGGTTATTACCTCATTTTTGAGGAGGAGTTGGTCCTCCAGTAGCATACAATCAGCGTGAACATGTTCCAGCTCCACCGACTTCTCCTCTGAGTCCTGGCGCGCTGTCAACAGCTCCTGCGATATTATATCTTGTGAAAACAACGCTCAACAGTTCCTGCGATATTATATCTTGTGAAAACAACGCCTAACTAACTACCACTACAGCATGGTGCCATATGGTTTGGAACTAAACGAATGTTCAATGAAGTTATTGGATCTTAGTGGAAGGAATCTCGTGAGATAACAAGCAGAATAAAACTAAAAGATAATTCTCTGAACTTCTCACCAAACCTCAAAAAGGGTCATAACACTAACAGACATTCCAAATCGGATTCTGGTCCTATAAGCACTCTACCTTCAACGAAAACTACAGACAATCTTTCAGATATTCAGTAAAAACTCAAAATACACGTTTTTTGTTTTCAAGACAGCTACATAACATCCAAGTACAGGTTCTTTATTGGTCCAAGACCGCCCACGTGATAATATCATGCATTGTGATAGGTCAAACTCAAGTTCTTATTGAGGATCCTCTCAGACATGCAATCTTACTGTTTGTATTGTAAGCACTGAATGGAATGATGGGATATTTGTGCTCAGCAACTCTTGCGGAGATCGGAAATGACACATTCAGATGTAAAGATCTCGGTTGTTGAATGGTCAATACACTTAAATAGTTTGTTGTTCATTAAACAAGCACAGTGGATGCTGTTTACAAAATACAAATAATGGGACCCAATCCTTTAGAATCAATTGTGTCATTAAGACTCTTAATGACATAAAGCTTACTTACAATTGAGTAAGAGAACTCTAGCGGCGGTCTGATCTCACCAATGTGTAATTTAAGTGGATCCATTGCACGAATCCAACAACTGCGTTAAATAGTAACGAGTCAATTAACAATAATGTCAACAGAAAACGAGGTAAGATGCGAATTTTCGATCCTGCACGATCCGCAATAATCAAGTTAAACTGCAGAAAAACGGTTATGCTGCAGCAAAAACAAAGCAAGTAGAAAACAAAGCTAACTTTGTACACGGATATTCCTATATGACTGATATGTCACGTGATAAAGAGAGAATGACTAAGACGAGGAGAGGGCACACGCTCCACATTATAAAGGAGTACAGCAGGTGATCCTTGCTCTGCTTGTCAGGTGACATATTGCCCTAAACTGTGCTTACTAAATTAAATCTCCCTATTATGTTAGAAGTGACGTGAGTGTCGAACAGTGTCTGCTGTAGACTCTGTATAGTAGACTCAAGAGCACATTGTGTTTTGCGTATAATAAAGGATGATCTTACAAAGAACTTATCTCCGTTATATCTTAAAAACAACCTTCAAAAAAGTAACCCCACAGTTGTGAGTAGTTACAGGTTACGCCGCCTGGTTTTTACAAAATTAATTGATAATGTAAGTAATGAAAGTCGTTTATTAATTAAACAGAATTAAATAGATCAAACTCAGAAATACTCACATTTTCAAGATTATTGATGAGTTTTTGTAGCTCTTCATTCTCCTCTGCAAGCCTTGGATCCTCCTGTTAAGACGTTTAGGTAAATAATCATAGATTCTGTTTTAAAATAATAAATTTCGGTCTAATACTGAGCATTATGACCCATCCATGTGCTTGCAGTGAGAGTGTAGCTAAATTTAAAAATGATAAGTCAATTTCTTGTTTTATTCGTGTGAACGACGCATCATGAAGCGATGTCGAAACCCTGAGTGTACACAAAATATATCTATTTCTCCCCTACTGTAGTGTTTCACATTTGTTTGGCTGAGAGTCAATTTAGCTGTTTCCCGGGAGTCATTCTCATCATTCATCTTTTGAAATAACTTCTTTCTTTGTAATATGAGTTTTAAAAAATGGTCAAAATTTTAAAAATTAGGATGATTCGCAGCTTCATCTAATTCTCAATACTTGCAAAAGTTCCGAATATTTTGGAGATATCAGCGACTGATATCGCGGTTTTGCGTCGGTTTAAGACCCATCACAAGCACCATAACTGTTTAAATGACTCGTTTGAAAAGTTTACTTTTTATCTCGTACAATATGCGCTTAATCAGGGCGCTGGGCGATGCCGTTAATTTCTGACAAATTTTCTCAAATTCTTTTTTATCTATGTAGTAGAGTATATAAAAAATGAATAAAGGTTCTAAACAAGGGATAGTTAAAAAACCAACGCCCAAGTCTAATCTTTCCCTAAAACAAATAACTAAATATCAAAACTTCATTGTAATTTCTGCCAATATCTCTTGTCATAAGCTAAATTACGGAGATAATACAGATAAGAAATATTGTACATAGAAAGATTTCTTTTACATAAGGACACGTTCATTGAAGTTTGAGGAAATTGGTAAATTTCTAAAACAGCGTTTTTGACGATAGTGGTTTAATTTTAACATATATTAATCTAGCGTGTTCATAAGTTCTGAACATTAGCCACGTGACCCATACTCCCATATGCACTGCTCAGAAATAAAATGTATTGCTTTTAGGCACTATAATGTAAAAAATGTCACATTTTTGTGACATTGTTTACCATAGCTGCCCGATTAGCATTTTTTGGTCTAAAATATAGTAGATTAGGTCAATATAACAATTATGATTCAACATTGGTTAAAGGGCAGTGATCGAACGGCTTTAAGGCAATATTTCGTAAACTTTGTCACACTCAGAATACGAGACCTCTTTTCTACTGTGAGGTGTCCTCAAAACCCTTTCAACTCATTATTTGATAGTTCTTCTGCCAATCATAGCCCTAAAATATGTTTTTTTGAAAAGTTAACAAATACATGCACTTGGCTATTGGGAAATGATGTAAATTCTGTCACATTATATGGAATTTGAAATTCTGGGTGAATTTCCGAAATCATTTATATCTGATTTTGGTTTGGAAGGCGGGAAAACTCTATATGAGGACGATACACGGATACAGTTGATTGAAGTATAGGGCAGTTGATGTAAACATCGTCACAAAATGATACGAAATCGTAAATGGACACGTTCATGTTGAAGTTTAAGGATATTGGTAAACCAAAAAAAATAGCGTGTTCAGAAGTTCTGGACATTAGCCACGTGACCCATCCTTCCATATACACGGCTCAGAAATAAAATTTATTGTTTTTAGGCACTATAATGTAATAAATGTCACATTTTTGTGACTGTGTTAACCATAGCTGCCCAATTAGCATTTTTTGGTTTAAAATATAGGAGATTAGGTCATTCTAACAATTATGATACAACATTTGGCTAAAGGGCAGGGATCGAACGGTTTTATGGCAATATTTCGTAAACTTTGTCACACTCAGAATACGATACCTCTTTTCTACTGTGAGGTGTCCTCAAAACCCTTTCAACTCATTATTTGATGGTTCTTCTACCAATCATGGCCCTAAAATATGTTGTTTTGAAAAGTTAGCAAATATATGCACTTATTGGGAAATGATGTAAATTCTGTCACATTATATGGAATATAAATTTTGGGTGAATTGCTGAAATCATTTATATCTGGTTTTGGTTTGGAAGGCGGGAAAACTGTATATAAGGACGATGCACGGATAGAGCTGATTCAAGTTAAGGGCAGTTGATGTAAAAATTGTCACAATAATAATAAGGGCAGTTGATATGAAAGAAAATCTATCTAACTAATGCAATGGCTGATGTGACTTTGAAGAAACATGCCTCGATTAGAATTCAATATTCTTCCAGGAATTATTAGTAGGTTATTATTCAGCAAATCAGAACTCAAGTTTAACAATTCTGAGTTTAATTTTACTAAGTTACCGAAATGTGACGAAATTCACTTTTCCTGCCCCAACAGTATAATTTCAATGTGATGAAAAGTGGGCAAGGGTTTCTATATTTCCTTATCTCTGAATTAATCATTTCAAACTATAATTAGGACTGTTGATGTGAAAGAAAGTGTATCTAAATTTTACAATGACGTATGTGACGAAATTTACATTTCTTGACCCTATTTTGAAGAACCATACCCCGATTAGAATTCAATATTCTTCCAGGAATTATTGGTAGGTTATTTTTCAGCAAATCAGAACTCAAGTTTAACAATGCTGAGTTTGATATCACTAATTTACCGAAATGTGACGAAATTTACTTTTCCTGCCCAAACAGTATAATTTCAATGTGATGAAAAATGGGCATGGGTTTCTATATTTCCTGTATAAATCCATTCCAACTATAATAAGGGCAGTTGATATGAAAGAAAATCTAACTAACTAATGCAATGGCTGATGTGACGAAATTTACATTTCTTGCCCCTATTTTGAAGAATCATACCTCAATTAGTATATAATGTTACTTTATCACCATCACTATGTCGATAAATTAGTTATTTTGCCAACACGGAGCAAATAAAGTTATAATATTTTTTTTGTGACGAAATTTACAAATTTTTACCCTGTTCAGGTGTTGAAATTTATCCAATGTTAACATATCACTGCCATATAATAATTTATATGACCGGCGTATGGTTGAAATATTGTTAATTGATCCATAGTACGTAATATAGGGTGTTTAAGTTGGTATACTAATATTTACTCAATTTCACACATGTTGAGATATCATACAAATTTATGTGACTAAATTTACCTATTTCTGCCTTCTGTATTTGTATTTGCCTATAACAATGAAATATGTGAACAATTCCAAACACATTCAGCTCACAAAATAATGCTAGACTATTCGGGATTTCTTGTCAGGATGTCATAAACATCCCTCATATAAATTTATTAAATGTGTGACGGAGTTTACATGGTGCTACCATTTAAGGAAAAAAGTCGCTAAATATGTAGATAATAGTCATATACAGCTATTCTATGAATTTAAAATTCGAAAATTTGGTCAAACACGGCAACAAGGGGTCCATATAAACTCCGTCACGTTTTTATAGTGTGACAAAGTTTACAACTCACTGCCGGCCGCATTTAAGCGATATCTTATCGTCTGATAAAGATATCGTTATGCGACAAAGTTTATCTAGAGGATGAAACGATTATCCTAACCATTGAGGGTTTATATAGTTTCATAGTGTGACACATTTTACATCATCGTGCCATTCAGTAGGGTCACTAATATTTACCAATATCCTCAAACTTCAATGAACGTGTCCATAAATCATGCACAATCATCGAGAATAGATTGCTTTGGGGTCTTCCTCTTCTCCCTGGTAAGTCCAGTGTATTGATGGCAAAAATGAGGGAAGAAAACGCTGGTCCGTCAACAGAACCCCGCAAAACATGTCCTAACATTCTCCACCGACTACGGGCCAATTTTCCTGACAATGGTTCAGCATTGCAGCGTTTATACAAGTTTTTGTTGGAGATGACTCCTGGGTATTCGTAGAGTTGAAAAAGAAATTGGAATCTTTTGGCAAAAAGACATAAATTACAGGTTGGAGCTAGGTTTAGTCAAGAAACGTTTCAAACGTTGTTCAAAGTATTGAAACGTCGCGGCGGTATCTTTTCATAACTTTAAAAGAGCGTTTGCTTTTCTTCGCAGCTAGAAATTTTGGACACTAATCATCAAGCACTTTAGTTCACTATTCGACACTTTTCAGACATCAGCTCCATCATTGCTTGACTGTGTCACCTAATTAGTTTTGCTATTAAGATATTCAGAATCTGCTTGTACATCCGATAATGTGCTGCTACATTATTTTTTGAACATTCATTTCAACATAGTATAGTTGACGCAAATTATACAATCATTATCTTTAACTCTGTTGAAAATTGTCACTTCACACCTTATATTATCAGGAATCAAATTCACACAATGAATCTGCGAGTCAACTTATCAGAATCTGGGAATAAACCTGAAGACGCAATCAACATCTCAAGACTTTCATTCACCATAACGAACTTAATCCTCTGCGTTCCCATCATACTTCTAAACCTTTTTGTCGTGAATCATTATAGAAATCAGTTCAGGAAATTTGTACCATGCATGTTCTTTCTGATGTCTAGCAGTGATGGACTCATGGCCATGTCCGTCGTCATCGAATCAGCTCTAATCATCAAACAGTATTGGGAGAAGACAGTCATTGAACCAGATATGATAGAAAACAAAGCCCTAGTTGTGGTTACTATACTTTGGAACTTGTTCTACAGAGTATCAACCTTCGTTAATGCTGTGTTATGTGTTGCGAGGACTGTCAAAGCCAAACTCCCCTTCTATAGAATCAACATGAAGCTTGCAGTGTCCTCGGTTGCTTTTTATATTCTTTTGTGGGTTCCTGTTGCTGCATTCGAGTATCACGGGATTAGTTCCAGACCTCACATACATAAAAAGGCTTTCTCCATGTCATATGGACAGCTTGGATTGGAAATTGCTGGAATTTTCTACAAGAAATACGATTCACCGAACAAGAAAAAGGGAATCAAAACATACTACGGATTAATAGTTGGGTTCATCCTCAATTTGATACCCTTTATCATCCCCTGTATTCTGAGTCTGGTGTGTCTTGTTATTCTGGTAAGATCTCTCAGAAAACCAGCCCCAAACAACGAATCAGCTGCCCGCAAAATATACGTCACCATAACCGTTACCTGCATCACATTTCTGTTTGTACTGTGCACAAGTCTCTCAACACTTTACCAGTTAGTTGCAAAAATCATCATCTCACTCATCCTTGATAAAAGGATAAACGAGGATGTCAACAAGAATCTCTACCCTCTGTTTCTCTTAACACTACCTCTTGTTAACGCAGCTATTAATCCACTGATCATTGTGTTGAGGAGCAGCGAACTCAAGACAGAGCTGTTTAAAGTGTTACATTTAACCTCTGTTCAAGGCTCAGTGGTGCTCAATCCTAGCGGTTCTAGACAACGTAAGAGTCTGAGGTATTCGCAAAACGGTATGATGAGATCAGGAAATGGGTAGAAAATGTTAGAGTTGAAGTGTCTGATGAATGTTAGTCGGAACTAGGTTTTATGAGTACAATGTACGAGGTTACAAATCTTCAAATTTCTTTAAAAAATCATTCTCGATATTAACATTCTTCTTGAATAAGAATCTGTTTAATTTCTAGAAATTTTCTGAAAATATAAAACTCCAATTCTAAAGTGACATGCTGTATTTCCAACTCCAACAGATAACTTTGTACTACTTGTTAATGTACCATCTCTACTTGTTAATGTACCATCTCAACTTCAAGTCGATTTTTCATCGCATTATTTTAAGTTCATGTCATTTGGCTATTTTAATATTATGTAACCGCTAAACCGCTGGTAATAGCCACTGCAAGGAATTTAGTCTCACATAGTAAGTTCTATTAAGATATCTTCATTATTATCTACCATTCAGAGTTATCTGATCTTCAAATAAGTGGTTTTGCTTGTCAACAAACTAAATCACACAAATAAACACACGAACTTGAATGCCATGATAGTTGTTTTAAAATTCAATCATCATATTAAGTATATCGTTAGTGGTTTGCTTCTCAATGGTTTCAAAGTCGAACTGTTGTTCAGATGATTTTTGCAGTTTGCTGATAGAAATTTACTGAATTATATTTACCACATTTTAAACGTAATCGAGCTTCTTAGATTCTACAAAACAACAAAAAAGTTCATGATCATAATTCTAATTGAGTTTGCTTCATTGACAGTCAAAAAAACAATCACTGACGAGAAATTCGGTATAATTAATATGATCTCAGACAAGACAAGATATAATATAAAACGGCAACAAATATTCGCTAAACTAGTGATGAAAACGGCTAGTCATGTCAAGTTCTAAGTTTTAAGGAAGGGCTGACCAGCAGCCCAGGAAAAATTGCTAGAGCTCTCTAATGAAAGATCGCAATAGCGGGATATTGGGATTAGTTTTCAACTAGCAATAACCACGTCTCGGTTGGACCTCATTAACTATGGTAATGCCACTGCGCAAAGCTGAATGTAAAGAAAAAACAGCATAATAAACAGTCCCATGTAAAGCATAAAATTGTGTTTGAAGTCTGTTATGAATTTATTGGACCCGTTTAACGATAATGCTACAATCGCAACAATCTAACGATGTGTTACAGCCTTATAAAATTAGTAAATGCTTTTGATGATATAAAATTCGATGCATTGATTAGGTATAGTAGAAAGGTTGGACCATTTCCATGATGCTGGTGTAGTCACGGGTCTAAGAGTTGAGACGATGCGGAATTTAGAGATTGGGAAATTTGAAATTATAAGTTATTGTCCTGTGTATTTATAATGAACAATTACAAATAAGCATATGGTATGAAGTATTCAATAAATTCGATGATTAATAAAGTCAACAAAGCTCCTTCGGCCTTGTTTATATCGGAAAATATTTCCCACGTGTTTAAATTTCCCGCCACAATAACTCCATGGTGCGTTCGTATTGGATGACACATGCTATGGTATATATCGGCCAGAAACACGCTCACAACGTTCAAACCAAAAAACTGTCGACACAAAAGGTCGTATTATAGATTGATTATAATTAGCTGATTGCGTTTTAGCCAAATTTGGCACGAATTTTCGTCAAATTTTCGGAAGTCGTAGTAACTGCGAGCGCGAAAAACTTTTAACAGAAGCATACCGATTGGCGCCGCGCGCTACGTTTCTTCGAACAGAGGGCGGCAAATTGTAAGGTTTGGTCGCCATGCAAGGGCGAGAAATATCGAAATTCATCCTCAGGTAACCGGTTAAATCTGTTTCTCTACGGCTTTTATAAAACCAAAATTCAAACGGCAGCTTAACTTCTGGAGCTGCTGGAGCAGCAGGGTTCACTGTGTCGTCAAGTGAGGAACTAAGGTTGTAAGGACTAAGGTTTCCATTTCTACATAACACAGCTAACTAAATCTGGTTTTATGGCATCTACAATAGTTACAGGAAGACAAAAACTTCGTCTCAAACAGCTAATATTTGGTGAATTCAATATAATCAAATTCACCACGAACTATACGTACTGACCTTTTGTTGGTTCCCTTGGTTTGAAGATAAGCTGTCCACCACAGATCTGAAATAAAGCCAAGTTTTAAAACAGCAAGATGTGTTTAATACAAATATGTTTGTAGAAATTTGTATGGTGACGAGTGATGACGTTTGTGGCGTTATTATTTGATTTGATTTGATACCAATATACAGTCAAGTATTCATGACAGATTGATTATAAACTCGGTGTGATATTGACAGTTGTATTTGTTGACAGCCATGCATTGCTTTAAATTTATCCCCAAGGGATTACGATGCTGTCAGCATTATATTGTCAATTGAAATCTCATTAGATTCGGTTAAATTAGTTCTTTTATAATACCTGTACCAGTCAGTAGGACACTATACTTATTAAATATGATTAATGATTAATGATTAATTAACCGTATTGAAGTATTAACTTTGTCATGCTTATTAAAAACTATCGTTTACTGGAAGACTGTCATCTATTGGAAGATATGATAAGACGTGGTCTGAAAGGCTGGAATTACGGATCTCACTCATATGGTAACTGAAGTGCATGTAGGGGAGGAAACTTAAAAACAAAGACACCAGAATATCTCATCAGTGTGTATTGAATAATTTATAATTATGCAAAATAGGGCACACACACATACACGCTAATTAGCCAATTACCTCAACATAACACACACTAAATACCCCTAATCAACATAGAATCAAACACAAAACAAAGTAATATAATTTACCCGTGGGCAGGATTATCAAACTCTCCCTGTACCACATGATAAGGGTTATAAAGTTCCTGTCCCGTTTGAAACCAATTGTCGTTGATCAAACGAAAAGCCAAGTCATACGACATGTAACAAGAAAAAGGCCCTCTTTTCCTCTCCTTCCACCTCTAGCTATCCCTGTATAGCGTTTAAACGAGATGATTTCAGTAACAACTCAACCAGACCAGCTCTAATACAATTCCAAACACACACAAGTACACTAAGATACACAATACCACGAGTCAATATACTGATGCTCGGTAAAATTTTCGTAGCGCTGGATCGGACAGCAAGGAGAGAAGACTAATAAGATGCCAGGAAAAAGGTCACGTGATTGTAATTAGCCAATGACCCTGCATGTCACGTCCCTATGAATTTAGGCTATTATATAATTTGGTTTAGTTGACTGCACAGTGCTATTTTACTAGCTAACAAAGTTGAGGGACACATTGGACAGGACGGCTAATCGGGTAATCAATTCATAGGATGACATCGCATTGGGGAAACAACACTACACGGAGACATTAACTTACATTGAACTATTAAAATAAGTAGAGGCCTTTGTTTACTAGATTCTTTGAGTACCAAATTTGGTCTAGAACAGTAAAATGAGACTACAAGATCCGAGACTACACAGTACACTCGTGATATTAATTCATGCAACCACCATGTCTTCATGGCTCACTTCCAGATTAAACATTCTCCAGGCTTCAAGTTCTCTTCACGTATTACAATCCCTGATGATATCGCTGAAAAGTTGCGACTGGCTTTGACTAATTCAAGCGGTTAGTTCTGGCTAATCTCAGACTCAATCGTGACGGGTGTACCATGGGGCGTACTATGAGGCGTTCTATGAGGCGTACTATGGGGCGTACTATGGGCGCACTATGAGGCGTACTATGGGGCATACTATGGGGCGTACTATGAGGCGTACTGTGAGGCGTACTATGGGGCGTACTATGAGGCGTACTTTGTGGCGTACCACTGTATTACGTAATGCCACGATACCAGTTTAAATTGGACCAGGATATTTACCCAGCTGATCATATACAATTGATATGTCACACAGGACACTAAAAGCAGGATTGGACCTGATTTAGTCCGAAGTGTGACAGAGGACTCATAATTAACAGACGTTAAAACACAACTCTTGTTAGCCACTATTGTCCCACGATTGTGTGTGTGTGTGTGTGTGTGTGCAGATAACAAAAGTATGTCGACCCTGTTCCCTAGCAACAATATTGGTGTTGCATTGGTTGTAGTGAGAGATCTATTGTTTAAATGTTAGGATCCTATTAACGTGGCGTATAGATCTCTCCACATATACTGGCTGCTCAACAAGTTCAATATAGAGGTTCTTTTAATATTTTATATCCTATAATATAGCAGAATATAGAGGTACTTTTATACCCTATCAAGTATAATATAGCAGAATATTATAGAGGTTCTTTTATATCGCAGTATACCCTATTCGCACACAAACTGCACACATTTAAACCGTATCTAGACATATCTACATAATATTTAGATACATATCCGTACCTCAAATTACGGACCTTCGCTCAAACTTTCATCAGATCTATTTATATCCAAATATTAATATTATAATACAGTGTAACTTCTATCCCAGCACCAGGATGCGTGACGTTAATAGAAGATACGGATCCTAGACTAACTATTCTTGTAGTACTTGGCCAATAAAGTTGCGGCAACACTTTGTCTACAGGTATTTTGACGTAGCCCGTAGGACGACGATAAGTCTTACAGAATACAAAATCATTAGATATTAAAACTATTGAAATAATCCAAACTCGTCGGATCAGTGGCTGCCAGAATCTTGATTACTGGGTATTCCTGCAGAAACTGGATATCATTGCAGAGACGCAGAGAGTGATTCATTTTAATCCATACATGGAAGATGATGAATGGACTAGTTCCTAACATCATCAACATACAGTTTAAGCTCTCGGGACGGCGTAAAAGCTACTGTGCCTACATTTAATGAAAAGGCACAATTCTTCTTTCGACCCACTAAGAAGACTCTTTTGGAGTGAAAGCAGCCAAGTTATGGCACCTGCTCACCAAGGAAGTTAACTCTATCAATGTCTCGGAAACTTTAAAATCCTCCCTAGTTATGAGCTATATAGCAAGATAATTTTTCTTCTTCTCTGCTTAACTTTGTTGACATATTGGGGGGGGGTGTCATGTCCGTCTATGTCCGCCTATGTCCTGTCCTTTTTGGATTCTATGAGACAACGGACGTGTTTTTTGGGACATTGGCGGACACGGACGGACATTGGCGGACTCGGACGGACATTGGCGGACTCGGACGGACATTGGCGGACTTGGACGGACATTGGCGGACCCGGACGGACATTGGCGGACTTGGATGGACATTGGTGGACATTAGCGGACATTGGTGGACATTAGCGGACAAACATTTTGAGGACTGAAGAGTACTGAAGAGTACTGAAGAGTACTGAGGAGGATGGCTGAGAAGCATGGCTGAAGAGGATGGCTGAGGAGGATGACTGAGGAGGATGACTGAGGAGGATGACTGAGAGGGAGGAGAAGGATCAGGAAGACCCAGGAAGAGGAGGACCCAGAAGGAGGACCTAGGAGGAGGAGGAGAACTGAGGAGGATGACTGAGGAGGAGGAGGACTCAGGAGGAGGACTGAGGAGGACTGAGAAGGAGGAGGACTGAGGAGGATGGCTGAGAGGGAGGAAGAGGAGGAAGAGGAGGAAGAGGAGGAAGAGGAGGAAGAGGACTGAGGAGGAGGAGGAGAAGGACTGAGGAGGAGGAGGGCCCAGGAGGAGGAGGACCCAGGAGGAGGAGGACCCAGGAGGAGGACCCAGGAGGAGGAGGAGGACTGGGGAGGAGGAGAACTGTTGAGGACTGATGAGGAGGACTGAGGACGAGGAGGAGGAGTAGGAGGAGGACTGAGGAGGAGAGGAGGAAGAGGACTGGGGAGGATCAGGAAGACCCAGGAGGACCCAGGAGGAGGAGGAGGAGGAGGACTCAGGAGGAGGAGGAGGACTGAGGAGGACTGAGGAGGAGGACTGACGATGACTGAGAAGGAGGAGGACTGAGGAGTACTGAGGAGGATGGCTGAGGAGGATGGCTGGGGAGGATGGCTGAGGAGGATGACTGAGGAGGATGACTGAGAGGGAGGAGGAGGATGACTCAGGAGGAGGACTCAGAAGGAAGAGGAGGAGGACTCAGGAGGAGGACTCAGGAGGAGGACTTAGGAGAAATGAGAAGGAGGACTGAGGAGAACTGAGGAGGAGGAGGAGGAGGAGGACTGAATAGGAGGAGGAGAAGGAGGGGGACTGGGAGAGGACTGGGGAGGAGGAGGACTGATGAGAAGGATGAGGAGGAGGACCCAGAAGGAGGAGAACTGAGGACCGAGGAGGAAGAGGAGGAGGATGAAGATGAGGAGGAGGACCCAGGAGGAGGAGGATTGAGGAGGAGGACTGAGGAGGATGGCTGAGGAGGATGACTGAGAGGGAAGAGGAGGAGGAAGAGGACTCAGGAGGAGGAGGAGGACTGAGAAGGAGGAGGAGGAGGAGGACTGAATAGGAGGAGGAGGAGGGGGACTGGGGGAGGACTGAGGAGGAGGATGGAGGACTGAGGAGAAGGATGAGGAGGAGGACTGAGGAGGATGAAGAGGAGGAGGAGGACCCAGGAGGAGGAGGACCCAGGAGGAGGACTCAGGAGGAGGAGGAGGACTGGGGAGGAGAAGGACTGTTGAGGACTGATGAGGAGGACTGAGGACGAGGAGGAGGAATAGGAGGAGGACTGAGGAGGGGAGGAGGAAGAGGACTGAGGAAGATCAGGAAGACCCAGGGGGAGGAGGAGGAAGAGTAGGAGGAGGAAGCATCTAAATGTTATTTCCATTTTTGTCCGTTTTTGTCCATTTTTGTCCGTTTTTGTCCGCTCTATTTTTTGTCCGTTTTGAAAATATAGGGTACCGAACGGACAAAAACATGATCCCCCCTATAACAGCAAAAATTTAACATTTTATTTAGCAATTTAGGTGTCCATTTATGTCCGCCTATGTCCGCCTATGTCCGCCTATGTCCGCCTATGTCCGTCTATGTCCGCCTATGTCCGCCTATGTCCGCCTATGTCCTGTCCTTTTTGGATTCTATGAGACAAGCGGACATAGACGGACGTGACACCCCTGACCCCCCCCCCCATATTTATGATGACGTGAGATTATGTTTATGTCATTACAACTTGATTTGATTGTGGTTATGTAGACGGTAAAACATTACTAAGTTTCCAACCACTAGAACACTCTTTCAATCACAATATTTTCCATTTCCAATAGAACAGCTCGTTACATAATCAAACAACACATCAGGGCCAATAAAACTCTCCTAATCTCGTCTAATCATGTCAAAAATGATGATTCCTGCATGTCAGATTACACCATTATTTTCAGATGTAGAGTATATGGATACAGTAGCAGTGAGGTGACGAGTGGGGCATGTTTTAACAGGTCTCAAGCAGCAGCCACACACTGTGCAGTGTGATGTGTGCAGTGTGGGTGTACCAAGTGAATGTGGGACACGTCAACCGTTACTGTAAATCCTTCACCTTGTAGAGTGGCACAATGTAGTCTTATACTCAATACTTTATACAATATGAATACTCTATACTTTATGTTATATATTATGTTAAATTGATTATAATCTTATTTGAGAACTATCAAGCTGGATCTAACAGTATTTGCTCATGCTTGGTTAGCAGCGATAACTGATAAGAACTAGAGTGTTTACATTATACTTTTTCAATAAACGAATGAATTTTGACAATAAACCTAGGAATCCAGTCTTAAACTTAAAGGCCACTTGTAGTTGTCACATTTGAACAATCATCGAAGATTTTCGACGTGCAAATGATTAAAACACTGCCCAGCTCAAATCAAGGACAATAGATCGGTTGATAGCGAGCATGTTACACGCCTCAAACAGAAGTCACTTACATTATATATCTAAGTTATAACACAAGTCTTCTCTTAAAATAATAGTTTTTGGGTCAACTTACGAGGCTTTTATGAGGAGCTCCTTGTTTGTAGATAATTCTTTTGCCAGATTTTCTTTTTCAACTTTTAGCTGAACATTCTGAAGGATGGATTTATCAGAAAATCATTAAAAAACAAAGGCACATTGTAGTACATATGTAGATACATATGTAGTACAACTTTAACATCTCATACTATAATATATACAAGAAAAGTATGATAATTTTTTAATTTATATAAAAGCGAACTCAAAAGTCTGCAAACATGAAAAAGTTATTAATTCTATTTGAATGACTATCAATGTCGTAAGTGTTTTTCCCAAACTGTCAAACGTCCTAGACAAATATGTTATATATATGGGAAAAATTCCATTTAAATGTGTGGTAATATAACTGTTGCCATGGTACTTATGATTTATTTATACTCATTGAAACCTCAGTGAGGACATCAAACTGTTCTGTTCCGGACACTTTGCTCAGAGTTGTCTCCAGGTAATATATCTTCAGCTTCAGACTAAAGTTCGCTTTCTTCAGATCTGCCATCAGCTGTGGTGGGGCAAACTGGGGGATTAGATTTAGCATATCTAGTGTGGGGCAAACTGGAGATTAGATTTAGCATATCTAGTGTGGGGCAAACTGGGGATTAGATTTAGCATATCTAGTGTGGGGCAAACTGGGGGATTAGATTTAGCATATCTAGTGTGGGGCAAACTGGGGATTAGATTTAGCATATCTAGTGTGGGGCAAACTGGGGGATTAGATTTAGCATATCTAGAGATCTAGTGTGGGGCAAACTGGGAGATTAGATTTAGCATATCTAGTGTGGGGCAAACTGGGGATTAGATTTAGCATATCTAGTGTGGGGCAAACTGGGGATTAGATTTAGCATATCTAGTGTGGGGCAAACTGGGGATTAGATTTAGCATATCTAGTGTGGGGCAAACTGGGGATTAGATTTAGCATATATCTAGTGTGGGGCAAACTGTGGATTAGATTTAGCATATCTAGTAAATAAATGATGACAAACAGATAATATGTTGCGTTAATGATAACCTTGGAAGTTTCCTCCTTTCCAACCGCATTTCCTCGGTTCATGAAGGGGGATGGCGGACGAGGGAGATGAAGCCCTGCTGGCACTGAAGAAAAATCTATTCAGTAAGTGCTAAGTATAATGATAAGTTGGTTTATATTAATGATATTAATAAGATAAGTTGAAAATCATGATAATTAAGATCACCAACGTGAACTGGGTTTAATATTGTTAACCTTAAAATGTTCGCACAGAAATATTAACTTATGAGTTATGGAAAACTAAGACTGGACAGGTCAATTATAACTTGTTTTGAAGAAACTGTAATATTTCTCTCACCGGAAGAAGGACGCTCCATTGTAGGTCTGCTTTCGTTATGTCATTGAGTCCTAAAATATGCGAATATGCTAAAAACATACTCAAATAAGGTTACCAGTACCACCTGGCATGGAATAGCAAAATTTCAAAATTTGAATTGATTTTAAAAAGGTAGGTAATGAACTTAGAACACGCACACTGTCTTAGCTTAATAATCATAAAATCAGCGTTTTATTGCGTTGTTAAATAATCGTATTGTTTTAGCTGCTTATTAATTATGATAATAATTCTAACTCTAAACCCCCCGACAAAGCGAGACTTATCTAAAATTAGAGGATATCGTCACGTAATGAAATGACAGTATGCTTTGCCCAACAAGTCACCTTATAATGATATAATGTCGACATTGTCCCTGAAACAGGTCACTTACCCTCCGAGAAGTCGCCTAGTCGACCTCTTAGCCCATGATCGTCAAGGAATTACCGTTGTTAAGGATCATTTTTCATCGGTTCGTCCAAATTGGATAAATTGTATTATCAAGACCTCATTAACGCAGTATAACGCAATTAAACAAATGCACCCTGACACGATTGTCATCAGGTGACATCTATTCTCAAACCAAATGTTGTCGCAGTTTGTCGCCATACAGTATGCCCTCTGCCAAGATGAAATCGCTTTTGTTGTTTGTTGTCGTGGTGGGGATTGTTTACGCTGGGCCTGATACAGCAGGCTGTACTAAACCCTCTAAAAAACCGCAATCTCAACAATTTAAATCTCTCTCTTTCACGTACGCTGTTTATACATTTCTTTTGCGTTATGAGTTTTAAAACTGTAAACAAGCTTATGAGTGTAGTAATGCATCGTGAATTCTTTAAATGCCATGCTGTAGCTCCATATGAATCATGATAAAAATAATTATTAGAAATTTATACATCGCTTTCTAGCCGAAAAGAACTAAAATAGAAAGATTCATAAATAAAGTTATATATTCTAGCTGCGACCCTTCATATATCTCAGCTAGAAATATGTGGCACTGAGTACATTATAATAATCTAGTTTGAAGTTGGGCAGAATCCCAGACACCAGCTTCGTGGAATTCAACTGGGAAATAGAATCCCACAACGATATTAATAAAGTTTGAAAATGCAGTTTATAAACAAATTATTGATTTCAAGCTTCCACATCAATTTTCAGAAATTCGTTGAGTTTGGTGTTTTGCTCTGATTTTGCTCAAGATAGTGGGACTTGCAGTGAAAAATTGGAAGCAGATGAAGATGGGCTCTACTTAGAAGGACAGTATCCTTGTCAGCACTTCAATAATGGTAATTGTATTACAAACCAGGCCAAGATGTTAGGAGCTTTGATGACCGACGTTAGATTTGGGCATGTGACGCCATCAATATAATAATAATGTTAATTGATCTGATAAATTTACGCTAGTTCCGAATAATAACAGGCCTACACAATTTCCACAGGAGAAGAAAGCAATGAAGGCAAGCCAGTTATAGCATTCTTCAGTAAAGTGATGTTTGATGGCAAAGATTATTATTATCATCAAATAACAGACAAAACCGGATTGTTCCTTACCAAAGACTTCAGGACACAAATAAACAGTAAGTATACGAACTACAAATTCCATTCCATTATCTAATAGTTATTCTGCATAATTATGATTGATCAATAATTGTTAAACTTAAATACAAATCATGATAGATTTCGATTGATACACGAACCAAAACACACTTTTGGAAATTAAGATCTAGCACAACTGATGATTTGAAAACTGAATCTTGATTAAAAAACATCAGCTGAATCGAGCAAGCTAGAAGATCTAGTAAAGGCAGTGGTACCTCAACTACCGGACGTAACTGTGACACTCACCTGCTATAATGGTGATAGCGACAGTGGTAAATATATCTTTTATTTCGCATTTTGCGTCCCCAATTTAACTTCTCCGTCGTAATTGATTATGTACAGCCCTTCATGACACCATCCATCACAGCTATCGAGACCACAGACGGACAAGAAGGGTCAGTGTACTGCAAATACACAGTAGAAAGTAGCGATTTAAATAGAGGTGAAGGTGGACAATTAGTTGTGAGAACAACTACGGCAGATTTTGCAGCTGAAGATGGGTGAGATTTAGCACTGATCACCTATACTACTGCTATACTGTACACTTTGTATCTGAAAATGAAAATATTCGTTAGAGCTTTAAAAAGGCTGCAGTTGGGGAGTAACCTCACTGTTTAAGTTTCGGTTAACTAACTATCTATTATTTCATCATGAGGTTGTCATCATCCATTATATCACATTTGAACAGGGACGAAGTCACAATGATAAACGAATCTATGTTCTTGATGGATAAAGAAGAATCTGAAGAGATGGATTGTGGTAAGTGTTCAAATATTCTTAACACGACACAAGCTGTAACTTTTAAGCTGTACAATTTCCAAAACACACTAATGCGATGTATTTGATGTCGATAATAATTCGAAATTTAATTCCTATTGATAGAAAACGACCAAACTTTAATTAAACGGGATACCACAGGCGATGGTAACACTTTTGCATGGTTTGTCAATGGAGTGAAAAACAGTGATAGTACTACACAAACTTATAAATTTGAACATGATGGCGTGGATACCATTATACAATGTATAAAGTCTTCTGAAGATGAAACTTTAAAAACAAATACGATTTGGAATGTCTTCACTGTAACAGAAGTAAAAGAAGTAAGTTAGCAATACACATTCCACAAAACCTTACTCACTTTTATGAACTGCACCCTTCTTGTTAAGTAATTAGACTAAGTCAATAGGTCACTTTAATTAAGGATCGTTCACATATTACGTAATCAATATTTTAGCAATTTTTACCCCCTCGCTCCCCCTCCGTAATCAACCGTAATCAAGACCCAACCTCCCCCCTCCTGACAGCAATATTACGTAATCATGGCCTGACCCCCACTCCTCCCCCCCCCTTTTGACTTTTTTTTCCTGGAAACACCTTTCTTTACGTTTGATGCTACCTGATCATAATGAGCCGAAATCATTGTTATTACATCCGGCCAATCACCTTCTAAACTACTTACTACAGTCGGATATTTGATCAATTTCTAAATTTGTTCACTATCAGAGTGGAATTTGTATTAAAATATTGTCAAATTGTTAATATTCTAAAGGGTAAAAAATAAAACCAACCCCACCCCCCCCCCCCCCATAATCAACCATAAGCATTTGGAAACCCCATCCCCCCTCGGCTGATTACGTAATATGTGAACGACCCCTAAGTTAATAAGTCACTTTAACAATCTTCTATCATATTATAAACTTCTTTACCAGGTTGATCCTACAGAAACAGATATAGACGTTACCCATGAAAAGTCAACAACATTTAACTGTGAAATTGTCTCTGATACGGAAAGCTTCCCAGCTCCTTTAAGAATGTGGTTCTGGTTAGATGACACAGATGGTGCTGAGGAGGAACTTAAAAAAGTAACGGCGGCAGATCCTCCCACTTACGAGCAGACTATAACCTACAGGTAAATCAAGCTGAATTGTATTTAAAATTACAATGATTTATGTATATAACAAAAAATCAACTGTTTTGAGATCAACATGCACATTGCACAATGTACATAGATAGTAAAAGACTTTTTTTGGCGCAAAAGCTTTTAAAATTACATCATTTGTTGACTATCAAATAAAACTGTATAATTAATAAAAATAGCTCATTGCAGTATCTAGCAAAAGGTCATGATGTGATAATTTTTAATACTCTTCTGATAGAGGCAATATAATCTAATTACCTTCAGCGACAATGGGAATTTCAAGTGTTATCAGGAAAATGGTATTGGATCAAAATCTTTGGTGAAGAACTATAAAACAGTGTATATAGTTGACACAAAAGTAGATTATCTTACACCAAATCCAAGATATTGGTATGAATACATTGAAAGTGTTCCTGAAGTTTACTACGTGAAAAAAGATACATTCAACATCAGGTATAGTTGAACATATTAACAATCGACTTTGTGCTGTTTTATAATACATCTTAGACTATACATGGACTTTAATCACAAATTCTTTAAGCTGTGGAATCACGAAAGAAGCTAGGTACAAAATCTGGTGGAAATTAGGAGAGGAATATTTTCACCTTGATGAAACTGATGATGTGTTTAAAAAGTTAAATCCTGGTGCATCAGATGATGACAAATGGGCAGATTCTTTGGATATAGAGGATACAGATGGATGGAGTATTATCAAACAAGATGATGACGCAAGTTTAGGGCATCTAACTAAACAAGTACATATTACTAAGAGTAAACCAGTTTTTTAAAAGGATTTACAAAAACAGAGATTTTAAAATAGTTTTAGTGGAGATAAATTTAGCTGAAAAGGCTAGAAATTATGTCGAGTGGAGTTTGACCTACCTTAGATGTGGCCCAAATAAGGTCTATATTGCCTTTTTAAGGCTACCATATAATTGCCTATTTAGGATACAACTTCTATTAGTTACTATATATAATATAGTATGTATATCTATATCTATATTATATATTATATGGTGACTGATATATATTACATACTCAGTATTGCTTTAATATGGCTATAAAAAAAGGTCATTAGAAATTTCATATACAACTGCACTGTACCTGTACTTTAAATTATGAAAGGTAAAGCTAAACAATTCTGTCAATACAATTTCATAGTTGGCGATGAGTTTTTAATTTTTTACTGCAGGATTTTGCTATAGAGAATTACAAAAGTGACATGGCTGATGCAATAGAGATGAGTGATCCAGTAGTTTGTTTTCTCATAGACACAGATACAATGACAACAGTTGCAGACCTAAAAGGTGTAGAAACTGGGGAGAGTGAGTAGTTAGGTCATCTACTTTAGTTGCCAATTTATATAAATTAATTTTGCTTAGTATGATTTATGAAAGAATGGATTCTAATAATTGAATTTTTACAGAGGAGGAAACATTCAAGAAATTAACAGTGAGGGTCTTTGATAAAATCACGAAGCCAATTGTAAAAGGACCCCTTAACCAAATCCAAGTAAGTTAAGGAGTGGTAATACCGTGATTTACCACAGAGCTTAAGGAAGGAAACAGCTATGGTAAATCAGGGTTTACAGTAAATCGGGGTTTTGTTTGAACACGCTGTGTAAATCAAGCCTTATTTTAGGGAAGGAATGGCCACTCTTAACAGTGGCGTAACGTTGCCTGTTGGCGCCCCCCTGCCGAAAAAAGCGCCCCCCTGTTGGCGCCCCCTCCCCTTTTGGTGCCCCTCCCTAAAATTGAACAAATTAGGTGATTTCAAAGAATACGCCGGTAAAATCTCTAAAAAAGTGTGTATCTAGAGCAAAACGCGCAGTTTTGCTAGTACTTTAGTTAAGTTTTCGAAATTGTCCCACATTCAAACGACGATTTGGCGCCCCCCTAAGACGGCGCCCCCCTGCACAGCGGGGTCAACAGGGCCTTTCGTTACGCCACTGACTCTTAATAGGGATTTGCAGTGAATTAGGGTGCAGTAAATCAGGATAATACATTTGTTAATGTGCAGGTTTAAATCAACTGTGACTCATTACCTTCATTTCAGTCAGAGAAGATAGGCAAACCCATTACAATGAATTGCAAAACTAATGGAATACCTCCTTCATTCATCTATTTCATGTTTACCAACAACAAAACAGAGGGAACAAACATTACTGAAGAGCTCTTGAAAGAGGATAAAGCTGTTCAGTTCACAAGGTGACACAAACAATTTTATAGAGATGAATCATTTACACTTAAAACGTTTATAGTACATTCCAGTATACTTTCAACACTACTATATAACAAATAATTTGAGGATATAATCACGGCCTGTCTTCTAAGGCAATGGTACACGGCTGGGTATAGTGAAATAGTCTTCAAAGGATTATCACAGGAACATGTAGATAACAATATATCCTGAGAGATAACAAAGTTAAGGTAACAGTATGTAAGCCAAAGGTCCTATAATATAAACTAAACGTTTGATATATAGAACTGGAAATATATATCCTGACAGTATGTGTGCTGAAGGTTACATTTGCAAGATAAAAATATTGTTTGGCAGGCTCCCTTTCCATAGTTTCCCGATTTTTCTGCTGACTTGAAGAAAGTTTAACCTAACATCACCAAGCAAATATTTGTGTTCATTGGCTATAAAATAAAGATTTAAAATCTTACAGGTATCGTATTGAGCGTGTAACAGACATACTTACAACTCTTACGATTACAGCACCCAACGAGGAAGACGAAGGTAAATTTACATGCTATGCAATTAATAGACAGACCACAGAAGACTCTCCTGAAGCGGGTCCAGATGCAGATGTTTACATAGAGGAGCCTTGTTCAGAGGGTGCACAATTCTGTTTTAAGAATTTTTCCACGCCAATAATCAAGTATTTGTGGGCATTTGTGCTTGCATTTGGTGTATTGAAATCAATACTGTAAAACATCAATAGAAACCTGAAACCACTGCACAAACCCACAGTACTGGCATGTACTGGCATGACCACTGGTCATGCCATTACTGTCATAAACTGTAACCAACTATTTAAAAATTAGATATCTTTTGCTAAATTTTAAATTTTAAGTCATAGAGCAATCTTCTTAATTTTAAAATTTAAGAATAATATTTTACCCTAACTATGATGTGGTGGCATTTCATACTTAACTTAAATTCAACTTTGAAAGTAAATAGATTATTAGTGACAACAAAATTATAGTTTAAGACATCCATCCTGCATCGTGTTTCCAATAGTAGAATTTATGATATGTATTGATTGAATAATTGGTAATAAATTTAACTTTTGTTTTATTAACTTTTGTTTTATTAACTGCATAACCAACTACAACTGATGTGAAATTGTCACAGAATTATTAGAACATGCTTTTAAAAATCGAACAAGAATTTATTAACATTGCAAGTTGATCAACATGATTCATTGCCAGTCTATTGTCTATGCAATTAAATTGTCCGATGTTCTGCTGAATTCATTTTCCTGTGTTATATTAGGACACAATAAAACTATCGGACTGTACTACGATGTATGGGGACTTCGACTTGCCACCCCATGGCAACATTAAAATATATTGACTCTGTTACATCGTTTCCTGTTAATATATAAAAGCTTTTCTTTTCAAAACAACTGGACACACCCTGTAGAATCGATTCCATTCCGTTACATAATACTCAATAAATTTAATAGATTGTAATTATATAAACTATTAGTTTAAAACGTTACTGTATGTAAATGTAATGTACTGTACATCATACATACATTTTTTTGTTTCCCGAAAAAAGACTCTTAATGATATTTGGGAAATGGTCAGCTCTATGAATAGGCGCGCGGAATATTTGCATATTCAATATACTATACTATGTTTTTTCACAATAGATTTAAATAAAGTTCGATGTGAGCATGGAGGAAGTTAAAATAATTTTGGATTCGCTTGATCAGTTTGGTAGGGCCTGTCGTGATATCATGGAGCGCTTAGGTTCCACCAGGATCTGGTAGTCCTCATAATTCTGCGGCCTCTATGTGTCGTCATCTCGCACAACTCCGAAAAACCGTTGTGAGTTTGGCATGTGAAAATTTGCAGCCCTCCAGACATCGATTGGGTTAACGAGTCGAGTTGTCGTACGTCACCTCAAGATCGGGTGACAGGGGGCTGAACAGGCCAGAACCCAATTGATTGGGTCTGAGGTCACGTGATTATGAGCCTGAGGTCACGTGACTATGACGTCACCAGAGCTCGTTCTCCGTTTCCCGCTCTTTGGACCAGGTGAGCTTGCATGCTTGTGAAAGTGGGTGTAAGTACAGCTGTACTGTAGTTACATCCAATTACCCCTAATAGAATGAAGATTTATTTTCTGACAGAAAGCTAGAAATTTACCAAAATATCGACTTAGTTCAAAATTTATTTTGATGACCACTCCTGACCTAAAATTGCACGAGAAATCGATTACCTTATCGGACCTTATTTGGACGGACATTACCTGAACGCTGGAGGCCCTAGCGTTCATCTTAATGTCCGTTCAAATAAAGTCCGTTCAATTAATGTCCGTCCAAGTTAAAGTCCGTTCAAATTTTTCAAAAATTTTTCCATTTCGAACCTTTTTGTCCAGAATATGACAACTTTGAGAACTTTATTGTGCCGTAAGTTAACGACGGAAAGGTTCTCCTTGGTCTACCGGAGGCACAGAAAACTTTACTAGTATATGATGTTTTCAAGGGTCACTTGGCGGGAAAAAGTCAACGAAATTATGGCACACAACAACATAGTTCATGAACTAGTCCCCGCCAACATGACAAACTTGTTCCAGCCTTTAGATATTACGGTAAATCGTGTCGCCAAGGACATTGTCCGACGTTGTTATAGCTCATATTACTCAGGGGAGGTAATGAAACAGATAAGTGCTGGGAAAGCTCCACGTGATGTTAAGGTTAACCTTATGTTGTCTAAGATAAAACCACTTCATGCCGAATGGCTTGTAAAAGTTAACACTGAAATGCAGGACCGGGGTAGTTTGATAAAAAAGGTTTCCATATAAAAGCTAGAATTCACTGATGCTTTAAGCATGGACTATTTCATGCACGAAAACCCATTTGATGAAGATGATATGTCATATTAGAAACTGATCATGTACACATATTTTAACATTTTTACTGCTCAATGACTGCTTTTCTTACTTACTGTATAAAAATGGATTTACTGATCATGTACACATATTTTAACATTTTTACTGCTCAATGACTGCTTTTCTTACTTACTGTATAAAAATGGATTTAAAAATCATTTGCTGAAATTAAAAAAACGTAAATTTAAAAAAAAATAACATTCGGATTTTTGATGGTTTTGAATGCCTTCGAGCGTTCATATTAATGTCCGTTCATAATTATGTCCGTTCATGTAATGTCCGTCCAAATAAGGTCCGATAAGGTAAACTTGGTTTCAGAACTCAACAATGCTTCCTTATGCCTTAAAATCCATTTTTATCGATACAATAAACATTTTGATCCTGTGGATTAATTAGTAACAGGTAACAAATGCACAAAAAAAAACCATCGCACTTACATTGCATTCTTAACGGGTCGATTTCGAGTGACCAATAATCGTCGTGATGATATTTATACGTCATGCGTTCCTGATCATCATCAGCAATCAAGAGACAGGAGCGGCGATTGCTTTAAATCGAAATCAACGGTTTACGTTATTTTTGTGAATTCGACCCCTGTTTTAACGGTTATCACACTTTGTCATTGAATGTATTGAGGATAGCTTTACAAATAAGAGGACCAGTAAATAAAATTGTCACAAGTGTTTCTCTCATTCACTTTCGATAAGACACAATGAAAATTCTTACTTAACCATAAGATTCGGAATTTTTCAACCGTTGAAGAATATCGGGCATTTTTCAGAATTTGGCCGCCAAATTTTGTTAAAGGCCTAACTTAAAATTCTAATACAAAACTTAAGGTCATGAGGCGATTCTACGTCGATTCTGAAAATTTCATGAAAAAATATTGAAACCCTATTGAGTTCTATTGTTTTGAGCGAAGTCAGTTTTGCAAATATCGCGAACTGATATATAATGGGCGATTTTGTTCATTTTTTGCAACTATTTGAACACAGAATCCACAGTTAGGTAGATATTGAGCTGATAATCATAGAGAATGTGTAGTATAGGCTTACCTTCCATATAAAGTTGGTTTCATTCAAAAATATTGATATTTGACCAATTTATGGGCCAAAATCGATCAAATTTGGTGCGTATGCCCAAATATGGTCATATGGTTTTTGGCTCATAACTCAGTCATTTTTGTCCAATCTTGATGAAAATTCATATACGAGTTCAGGGGACCACTAGCTACAAAAAGAGCACCTAAAATTTGGGTTTTGGGCATGTTCAGGGTATTTGGCTAAATTGGGCCTGATTTGGACCAAATATGGGCGTGGCTGCCCCGCGGGCACCGTTTGGCGGTTGGGGTCCGGGACCCCCTCAAAAGTTCGGTCACCGGTCCTAGTTTGTTGGTTAACTGCTATCTCGAAACTAAGTTTCACAAAAATATCAGGGTGAACCCCCCCCCCCCCCCCCCCCCCCCTTAAGGCATAAGGAAGCATTGTTGAGTTCTGAAACCAAGTTTAATCGATTTCTCGTGCAATTTTAGGTTAGGAGTGATCATCAAAATAAATTTTGAACAAAGTCGATATTTTGGTAAATTTCTAGCTTTCTGTCAGAAAATAAATCTTCATTCTATTAGGGGTAATTGGATGTAACTTACACCCACTTTCACAAGCATGCAAGCTCACCTGGTCTAAAGAGCGGGAAACGGAGAACGAGCTCTGGTGACGTCATAGTCACGTGACCTCAGGCTCATAATCACGTGACCTCAGATCCAATCAATTGGGTTCTGGCCTGTTCAGCCCCCTGTCACCCGATCTTGAGGTGACGTACGACAACTCGTTAACCCAATCGATGTCTGGAGGGCTGCAAATTTTCACATGCCAAACTCACAACGGTTTTTCGGAGTTGTGCGAGATGACGACACATAGAGGCCGCAGAATTATGAGGACTACCATACCAGATCCTGGTGGAACCTAAGATCCTGGTGGAACCTAAGCGATCCATGATATCACGACAGGCCCTATCAGTTTGGCGCTGCGCAAAACAGCTATCAATAGTCAATTAAAAAAGGCGCAGGTTATATTTTTGCCAAAAGCATAATCCAGCTCCCCAAATCGCGCGCATTGTTTTAACTTCTTTCAAACAATATATAAATGGTTACAATGTATTCAGAATTTTGCAATGTATTCAAATTTAATAACTTTGAATAAAAAGAAATGCTTTAATTGAATAGAAAAAGTATATAAAAAGCTCAAAAACTTGACTGACGATCGCGATGTTGGATGTCAACCCTTGCAAATTGATGCTTTGCTTTGCAAAGCAACGATCTCGTCAGATGCGAAGTAAGAATGCTAAAGTTTGCGCGGCGCGTCGAAGCGGCGAAGTGATCCTCCAACTCAAAAACGCTACTGACGTATTTCTTCGTGAAAAGTACAATAGTGTGAGTAGCTTTTGCCGAGGTCACAGGGAGACTAAAGTGCAAAGAAACTCATGCTGTTAACTGCTGCTTGTAGGTTTACAACCTACCAGGACGCGCGCCGATTTGGAATTGTCGACGGTCCTGTGGAACAGTTGACGGATGTTACTCGTCTACATTTCTTCGAAGTAGCGCGCCGCTTTCTTCTCGAAATGTTACAGCAAGTGCTACGAAGTAGCGCGCGCCGGGCCATACCATTAACAATGGTCAAGTGGAACAAATATTTTACGAGTATGGCACCTGTTAAACTGCTGCTAATAATTGCTGCTAACCACTGCTGACTGTTACCTGGGGACCCCTTGTATGGTAGGTTTATAAACTACCAGGACGTGCGCGCCGAGTTGGACTCGTCGACGGTTCCAATATATGGAACAGATATTTTACGAGTATCACCCGTTAACCCCTTGTAGCGCGATGCGTTACTGTGCCGCGCCGCGCACTCAATGAGGCTTCTCACAGCGACATCCGTCATCGGTAGACATCGCTAGACATCGCTAGATCGGCGAGATGCGCTACTGTGCCGCGCCCAGCTGCGATGAAATGAAATCGTCCCCAGCAGACCTTACCGGCTGGCGATATTACTACAGGGTGATCGCCTCTTCACAGCTTGTTGAACTCCGCGCGCGCTCGTTAGTTCATTGCATTTGCACGCTTCAATTATTGAAAACCAAACGTTTCAGATATCTCTTTTACTTCCGAAGTTAGGCCCCTAACGGTAAGGTTTCCTGGGTCAATTAAGCAAAATCAATTGACGGATGTTACTCGTCTAAGTTTCTTCGAAGTAGCGCGCGCCGCTTTCTTCTCGATGGCAAGAGCTACGAAGGAGCGCGCGCCGGGCCAGATCATTAACAATGGTCAACAAAATCAAGCATGTTGTATTCATACTCACTCCTGCATATTATACTTATTTCATATGCTTTCGGTGAAAACATATTTTGCACCTTTTCAAATTATTGTAAAAGGACATCATGTCCTGAGGACATTTTAATTGGGCGGCAGCCTTTAACAATTTAACTGCAGGTCTCCTAATTGCACGGGTGATCACCTGATCACATGCACACGAAATGATTGTTCACCTAACCATGTGCTTTCGCGCCGCTGCGGGCGCGCTTGTTTCACAAGTCAAGGGCGGGCGCGCGCTACTGCAAGCGCAAGGGCTCTGGATAGAGCAAAAATGATTGTAGCGCTATGCACTACTTGGCCGCGCTTTACTGGGCCGCGCTCAGCCTGTCATTCCGCCTAATCTTTAATTGTTGTTTACCAACATTAAAGCCTGGGGTCCTCAGGTAAGGCCGCGCCGCGCATCTTCTCGCAACCACAGATGCAGATCGGCGAGATGCGAAGGATTGCGACATCGTGAATCAAACGAAATGAATAAACTCGCTATGCTTCAATTCATACTAGGTAGTGCGCCATCGACAGCTTGAGCCGCGCGTGCCGACTGTAGGAATAGGATGGTTTTTTAGCGCTAATTTCGGCCAGCACAAAATTCTAGAAACAAATGCGTATTGAATAACCTTCCCTTGATCCAATTTTAACAAAAATTGGTTAGCTTACTCATATCATAGACTTACAAGGAAAGTGTCCGAAAAATTTAAAGCATATCCAACCATCAGACATTATGTTACAGCTATAAACAGCGTTTATCGTGCATCCCCTGGCCCTATTCATACCTCTGTCATTTTTCATTTTGATTTGAGAAGCTACAACTTTAATCATTTTTCAGGACAAACGTAAAATTATTTTTGATTTTGATAAATTTATAATTATGTCGATTAGATAATTTATGTGTCACTTGTCCAAAACAAAACGTATCACTTAAATTTCCCTTAAAAAATATCCATATTGATGTAGCCAAATCATAAGGTCTTTTTAGCCACCAGACATTCTGATTTCTAGAGACTCAGTCGTCTGCACTAGTGGTTTCTGAAACAGCGTGTCTGGCAAGATGTCTGAAGACTGCGGTAACGTAGACTGATTCTACTGAGTACACCACTCGCTGTAATATCACGTGGCTGCTGTGATCGTAGTGTTTAAATACCAGCTCTATCTCGTTATTCGTCACACCTGTTATTTTTTATTGTTAATGGAATAGTTAAGTTCAGCATGGCGACGATCAAAATTATAAAACATAGAATAAAGTGCGACATCAAGATGAATTTTTACACTAGAAATAGAATTATATGGTGATGCGTAAACAATTATAACTATAAGTATAACTATAACGCAAACGGTGAAATAATAACAATTACCACGTCATAACGTCATGAGAGTTAATAACTGCGGTTATTTCTAATTGTGAAATTATTTAAAAGTAATAAGAGTTCACGGTTCACCTTGGTACCCGTCCACATTTTCCTGAGGAGAAGTATTCGTGTTCAGCAAGCTCACAATCCTCTTTTTGTAGAATTTAACAGGTAAGAACTCCGTCACTGTCACCAAAATATTTAACCCGTTCAGTCCTGGAAGATACTCAAATCTTAATTTTCTTATCTAAACTTTATTTTTATGTATTGGATTCAGCGTTGGATTTTGATAATCAGTGTTACTGTTAATCATAATTATGAATGTAAAGATATTGAAACAGAAGACTGAGAAACCAGAAACGTTTTAAAAATAACATTTCGAAATAACAACATTAAATTTATATTCCAGATCGGCACAATAATATATGAAATTAAGTTTAAATCAATTGTGCTATGTGTAATATTGGATAAGACAAGCTTTACCTGGGGACCCCAGGCTATTATGTTCATTAGAATAGAGATTAGGCGGAATGACAGGCTGAGCGCGGCCCAGTAAGTCACTAATAATAATAAGCCCAGTAAGTCACTCCATCTTATCTGGAGAACGTAGCTAGCTGGTCACGAGGAAACAACTTCATATAGTCCGCTATATACACGTGGTACATACTTGCGTACAGATGGGTCGCTAGCTGGTGGGTTTCAGTGCTGTAGGTGCAGGCTCTTACCGTATTGTTTTTCAGACAGGTGTTAAATATCTCAACTGCATCAACCACTATGCACTAGATTGTGATATTTCTCCGGAGTTATCGGTCTGTCGCAGGCGTATATTCCGGTAAACGAACAGAAAAACTGGTACGCTGATCTCATCCGATTGATAGGGTCCCGCAATGAGAATATGAATTTAGTTTTAGGATTCAGTTTGGCAGTTGTGTCTGCGTTAGTTACTGGTGGTTCTTTATAACCGACCGGGATGGAATGTCTCCCAGAATTCGTTATCCCAAACATAGAGATTAGGCGGAATCCCAAACATAGAGATTAGGCGGAATGACAGGCTGAGCGCGGCCCAGTAAGACAAGCTATATTAAACTATTCTGGACGTCCATAAAGTTTTCTGCAGTACAAGTGTGGCCGTCGGTCACAGTTCGATCAGTATTGAAACAAATTATTAAATTGTACATACCGCAGTTGGCAGTACCGCCCTCATCAAATAAATGCAAGTGTGAAGTCTATTATAACGAACTATCGAATTAAACCATTGAAAATAAAAGTGTATAATTGATGATGGAGACTAAACCTATGACAAGGTTAGTGCGGACGATTCCAGTACCACTTCTCATCACCCAACACATCTACTAGATGTCTGAGGAAAGAACTCTTCGAGAACTTTTGTTGTCTGGGGCAGGACGTAGGGAATCCTCTTATCTTCATTCAACTGGTTCCTTGTCTTGTGCTTGTCCAGAAAACTGCGCAAAGTGTCCTCCGGAAATCGCTGAATCTCGAGAAAGTCACAGAGTTTATTAGTAGAAGTAATTGGGTCACTAATATGTTCCTCCATCTGGAGAACGTAGAGCTGGTCACGAGGAAACAACTTCATATAGTCCGCTATATACACGTGGTACATACTTGCGTACAGATGGGTCGCTAGCTGGTGGGTTTCAGTGCTGTAGGTGCAGGCTCTTACCGTATTGTTTTTCAGACAGGTGTTAAATATCTCAACTGCATCAACCACTAGATTGTGATATTTCTCCGGAGTTATCGGTCTGTCGCAGGCGTATATTCCGGTAAACGAACAGAAAAACTGGTACGCTGATCTCATCCGATTGATGGGGTCCCGCAATGAGAATATGAATTTAGTTTTAGGATTCAGTTTGGCAATTGTGTCTGCGTTAGTTACTGGTGGTTCTTTATAACCGGGATGGAATGTCTCCCAGAATTCGTTATCCCAAACATAGGAGGGCGTTGCGTCCATAGTGATACCGTGAAACAGTACGTTTGTTCCCTCTATTTCTTTATAGGTTCTCATCAAATCCTCTCGGTAGGTTCCTCTGTTAGCGTAGAACCTAAATGATCTGGGCAGGTTATAAGGACCTCGTTGCATCCTACTCCCTCTTCCTTTTCTTCTTCTATCAAAGAAATGTGTTTCTTTGCTGGACCGAGAACTTATTAAAATGTGCCTTTTGAGTATTGCAAATAAATCTGTCGTGCCACATTTTGTGAAACCGATAATGAAAAAGTAAGGGAGACAAAACAAATTGTCCCTATCTAAAGCATCTTTCCCTTTCCAGCAAGGGTTTTTAAACTCCTTTATGAAATCCTCTTTTGGCGGTAAAAAAGTGAACATGTCTTTAGGATTCTCTATGATAATATCTTTACTTACATTTCTGCCATTAAGATAACAACAAGTATCATCACAGTTCATCTTCTTTAGATCTCCGAATGTTTCCTGTTCCGGTATAGCATCCTCCATATCGTTTTCCATTTCCTCATAAGTTGGAGCGGTCTTCAGGAATTTAATGTTCTGGTATTTTTCAGGAAGGTTTTTGATGACATTTTTATGATCAATCTTCCCCTTCCAAGCACCTTCAGGTGGAAAAAATATCTCGTAAGGAATATCAGGTGTTTTCAATTCTTTCTTCTCCATTACATTTCCGAGGATCAATTCTGATTTGATCCTTTTCTCATCCACGTTTCTCGATTGGGAGCTTGGTATGATGTTCCCCTTCATCACAGCTGCTGAAAGTGTTGGACCTTGAACATGTCTATTGTCGAAGTTAACCTCTGCTACACCATAGTCATACTTCATCTTGAGATCTTTCACGATTTCTATAATCCGATCTTTCGTGATGTTTGGAGAGTGTTGGTTTTCAGATGCACTGTTACTGGACGGCTCATTGGTTTCTAGTAAAATTATAACAATGTAGAAAGTAGCACAAAGGATCAGGATCCAGACAACCTTGCTGTGCAATACCCTTCCACGGGTTAAAGCCATGTTTCATTAAACGGAAAACTAAAAATCTGCAGGAATTATGGGGTAAGAAAAAAACATTATGATACTAGCAGCAATGAATAATAATAATATGGCAACATAAAAAAGTCTCAAATTATAACTTATATCAAATAAAATATTGTAGACGCTCCCAGTGTTTAACTTGAATGCGATATATTAATATATTTTGCGTGATGACTTGATGTATTATAATTGCCAATAGAGCGGAGGAGAATTAAGCCACCTCATGAGATCACCGTGATTAACGTTCATCAGCAGCTTAACTTCGCATCAAAAAACTTGCCTCTAATGACGATGTTAAAGATAATGTAGAGATAATTAGGCATTTATTAATTTGATGTGGCTTATTCGACCGAGAAATAGTCACCGTGTATATCTTATCAGTTATAATTTACACGAAATATTAAGACGACCAAACCGCCATAATCTAAATCGCGTAAATTCTGGCCGTGCAAATTTTCGACAGTTAATAATATACTAGTCAGAATTGACGGTTGAGCTGATCTCTGATAACCAAAATAAAATAAGGCCGCACGGTTGACGATATTACTCCTTGATACACTATGAACTTTGAACAAAATTTACTTAAAGTAAGAACTAAGAAGACCGGGAATGATATGATCATGATTTTTATGTGTATTTGCCCTTACTGAAAGTCTTTAAAAAACCCTCAATTCTAGATCGGTGCAATAAAATTACAAATATTCGATTGATTCAGTTTGCAGGGGAATAATAATATTGAAATGAAATGAAAGTAGGTATTTATATCACGTATTTGTATCCCGCTCTGCACTCATATGATTAACCAACAACACAAGGAAGGTGGTTAACCATGTCATAGCAATGTGTGAGCAAATGTGTAAAAAAGTATGACTCATTTATATAAGGCATGGACAAAATTTGATATCTTTACTTTTAAATACAAATCGCATTGAAGACATGCATGATAGAGGTATGGCATAGGAGAGTTATAAAGACAGCACCTTTAGAAAGTGCAGCACGATCTGAAGAGGACATACGAGTATTAAATAAAATTTTCAAAAACTATATGTTGTGTGAAATTGTGCAAGGGGTATTATAGGACATTACGGCAGTGAACGGTACGACGGATTTTCTGATGGAATGGACTGATTGGGACCGATCACTGATGGGAGCGGAATTTTACGGATTAATTATACAGCTAAGAATGTAAGAAGTACATACAAAGTAAAGAAGTAATCACAAAACGAAAACTGAATAACCATCTCTTAGTTGAACTGTGTCTATTTTGTGATTTGTTTGAGAAGTTGGGCCACACGAAACAATGTACATTTCAAATCAGCCTCACGAAAACCTCACCGAACCTCCACGTGGTGTGGGGTGGGTGGCTCGAACGGGAGGTGCTTGGGTGTTTCTAACCTATGGAAGGGACTAGCCAGCTCTATAAAAAGGAAAGGCTCTCTGGCTCTAATAACCTTAGAACCGCAGCATAACCGCTCTTCTCACAGGCAAATAACACCTTTCGGCTTTCGCAGGAAACTAACACGCACACAGGCTCCCACGTCTCGTGTAATCCCAGGTTTTGGTTTGGATCGGACACTTAAAACAACGATAGAGGAGTGGTCTACACGCTCAGAGGCTCCCTCGTCTCGTGTAACCCCAGGTTTTGGTTTTGGATCGGACACTCAACAACAACTATAGAGGAGCGGTCTACACGCTCTCAGTCTACCACGTCTCGTGTAACCCCAGGTTTTGGTTTTGGATCGGACACTCAAAACAACGATAGAGGAGCGTTCTAAAGTATTTAATTATTCGTGAATAGCTTCGGTACTGGTTTACATCATTGGGTGCCTAGTCTGTACAGTTACACATTCCAGAGTCCAGACAAGTTTATCAGCCAGCTGGAACCTGTTAAAAATAATGCAAATCCTCTATCTAATCGTACAGTTGCTTTTGAGGGAGCCATTCTCCAACAAAGAGTTAAAGAAGTTTGTCCAATTTGTAGTCCTCTGAATTGCACGGTGATAATCACCCGGGACAGCAAAAACAGGAATTCAACCGAGCTTTAAAAACCATACTCAAAAGACGCAAGACTGACGTGAGAGATTTGCTCAGTGTTGGGCTAGGAAATGTTCTGTACAAAATTCATGTCATGAGACAACAGAGGTCTGTGAAAATACGAGTGAGAAATCTATTAACCAAATAGATCTAGACAACACAGCAACATTTACCGAGGTGCTGAATAAGTGAACAGTGAATAATGATCATACTTTTGAATTAGACATAATAATAATGATATTGGACCCTAGTTGTTTTGGTTAACAGCTATCTTGAAAACAAGTTTCACACAATATTTGAGGCACCCCCCCCCCCCCTTCCTAATATTCCTCTATTTATAGTTATATATAAATGGTTAATAATTATTAATATAGCTGAGTCACATAATGATAATGCATAATTCAAGTTTTTTTCAATGAGTAAGTCGTGTTTAATGTCTGATGAGGTTTGTACGACCATGAATTAATGGTAGACGGTGGTGTCTAGTTCTGCCTTAGTAAAGGTATAGTCGGTATAAGTCACGAATCACAGTTAGTCGGTAGTCACGAATAAATGTATAATATTTGATTCAAGCGACTCGTATGAGCGTGTGTCCGCGACAACACTGCGATAAAAGTAAAACTGCGATAAAAGTAAAACTGCGATAAAAGTAAAACTGCGACAGTAATGCGACAGTCCTGCAACAGTCCTGCAATAGTTGATACGTTTTAATGTCAGTTCAAATAAAAGCTAGTTGCTGTCGCAGTACTGTCTATTGTAGTTCTGTCGTCGAAACACGCTCGCACGAATGATGTTAACGTTAACTAAAAAACAACAATCAGAAATTACCCATCATGATGATTAGAGCCCACCAAATGAGGAGAAAGAGGTACTGGTTCACAACATTGGGCGCCATCGTGCACATACCGGACGACTTTGTCAGACCTGTAACATATCTTATCATTGTAAAAAATACAATTTAGAGTTCAAGTAACGTACACCCTTAACTCATCCCTAATTCCCATCATAAAGTACGGCACTGCAGATACTGTAGACTACAGTATCTGCAGTGCATGTTGTGTACTCGTTTTAGCAGTTTTAGTACTACCTTACTCGGGAATATTATAGCGGGTTAATTTATGACTGTGAAAATTAATGACCGGAAAAAATATGGCGGAATGTTCCAAAACCCACCAAGCATCAAAATGTATTGCTATTAGTTTACCTTACTCGGGAACATTATAGCGGGTTAATTTATGACTGGGAAAATTAATGACCGGGAAAATATGGCGGAATTTTCCAAAACCCACCACTTTATCCCAGTCATAATATTCCCGAGTAAGGTATTCATTATCTTCTATTTTATCTCATGGTCAGTGTCAAAGCATATCATTTTAACACAGTATTTAGGACATTGACATTAAACAGTATTTTGGCGTAGTATTGGGTATATTTGGGCATATATTAGTGTACGACATTAAGTACAGCAGGGTAGAGCAGAGAGTTCATTTTAACATCTCTGTTTTGATTATCAGAGGGTGCATTTTAACACCTCTGTTTTGGTTACAAGGAGGATAGTTTGGGAATTGTTTAGAGATTGCTAAAGAGAGTTCATTTTAACATCTCTGTTTTGATAATCAGAGGGTGCATTTTAGCACCTCTGTTTTGGTTACAAGGAGGATAGTTTGGGAATTGTTTATACTATCTGGGGATACTTAAAAGTGGGCCTGTTGGATGGCAGGTGAAACTTTTTGGTTTCAGTACAGCATGAGTTTATAGTTGGAGAACTAGGAAATCTGAATTTATTGGAGATTATATTGAGGAACATTGAGAGTCTCAATGTTCCCCAATATAATCTCCAATAAGTAAGTCCATTGTAATTACAATTCTTAATCACGTATACACTATACAAATTGAAGTACTTTCACTTATCACCTTCCTGAACCAAATTGTAAGGAAAAGACTGTTTTACCATGCACAATGCTATAACGTCAGACACCTACTGAGCGAGACAATAAGAACTACTACTAAAAGAGACTACGGTGATTTACTGTGCGGCGGAAATTGGCAAAGAGGTAGAATCACATATCATTTACATTACTGTCGGCAGAAGAACCAGGCATTGTACCAACAATAAGCCTCGAGGTGTCATAGCCATTATACCCATTAACTTAATGGTACGGTAGTGTGCGAACTGCAATATAAGTGTTTGATTAAAACGATTAAGTGTTAAATCGAAGTATAGTAACGAACCTGATGGGCCATACTTCTGTAAAGTGCACCCGACCATCTTTGGGAAGAGCACATCCTTGACGTGGGTATAGTTGTCAGTGGACGGGTTACTCCAGTCTAGTCCTAACGTGTAGAAACTACCAATATGGAACATTCGTCCTAAAACAGTGAAATAGTTATTCTAGTTAGGGTTAAAGCTAAGTAAGCTTCTTGTT